GACAAAACGGTCGTCCAGTGCTTCCCAGTTTTCCATGGTGGTCTAGCTTCAATTAACTCATGATTTCAATCGTTGAAATCGATACTTACTCTATTCGTTTTTTTTAAAGCAGGAAACCAGAATGAACAAATGAAAACAGTCTCAAATTTTTTCATTAAAGTATATGTATTCTATAAAGTGCATATTTCATTACAAAGCATAAATAAATAGATTGTTAGATAATGAATGATTTTGTTTAAATGAACTGTTGCTATCGCAATAGTGTTATGTATTGTTAGTTTGATATAAAAACGAATCAAAAGATGAAATTACTTTAATAGTTATATTCATAATTTGATATATGCTAGAGCATCATTGGAAACCTGAAAATACTGGATAACCGTTTCGTCCTTGTATGGGACTCCTCAACAATGGACATCCATGATCCTATATACGAGACCCAAACCCAAAACCTTTGATATTGCATTCAAGCGCTTAATCTCTAGATCACTGAGCTGGTATACAACTATGTTAATGTCTAATCGAAGGTTTAACATTATATCTAATTATAAAATTACATTTAAATTACAATTCCGATAGCATGTCGATGACAAGGTATGCAGTTGAATTAACTTTAGCACATGAAGTTTAGGTTTTTGTTTATATTTCTGGAGGAATTTATCGGTATATCTAAATCTTACTATACTTGATAAGCTTTAGTTTAATCAGGATAATGAGTCTTCATTGTCTAAATAGTTCATTTGTACTTACTATATAACTTCTCATTTAGTTACTGTTCTGTTCCTTTAGGTAAATAAATCAGTATACATTAATCATTCAAAAGTTGAAATATCATATTGATAACCATGAGTTTATAACAGCTTTCAAATGTAAAATATTATGATTTGATCTCCTATTGATTTAATTATTTGAACACAAACATTGATACAAGGGGACGCCAAAGTATACATATATTTACTTACTTACTTACCTACGACTGTTACTCCTCATCGAAGAGTATAGGCCACTCATCAGCATTTTACATCCCTCTCAGTTCTTTCCAGTTGTTATTCATCCTTTTCATATCTGCTTCTATTCAACGATGTACTGTGTTCTTTGGTCTTCTTCTTCTCCGCTTTCGCTCAGGATTCCAAATTAGCACTTGCTTTGTGATGCAGATTGATGATTTGCATAATGTATGTCCGGTCTATTTCCAAAGTCTTTCCCAATTTCCTCCTCAACTGGAAGCTGGTTTGTCCTCTCCCACAATAAACTCTGGTTGATGGTATCCAGCCAATGGATGTTGAGTATCTTTCATAGACAACTATTTATAAATGCTTGTACCTTTTTGATGATGGTTGTAGCAGTTCTTCACGTTTCAGCTCAGTGCAATAGAATCAACTGTCTTCACATTCGCATTGAAGATTGTGATTTTGATATTGATTGACAGTTGTTTTGAGTTCCATATGTTCTTCAATTGTAGGAATGTGGCACTTGTTTTGCCAATCCTCTCCTTTACATCTGCATCGAATCCTCCTTGTTCATCAATGATGCTTCCCAGATATGTGAACGTTTTCACGTCTACGAGGGTTTCACCAAGTGTGATTGTGTTGGTGTTTTGCATGTTGTATTTTGGGATCTTACTTTTTTATTTAAGTATGCTAAGGCCTACTGATGCAGATTCTGCTATTACACCAGTTTTCTTCATCTGTATAAGATAGAAAGGCCACGTCATCTGTAAAGTCCGAATCGTCTAGTTACATCCAACCTATCTATTTTATTCCATGCTTAATGTAAAATATGGAGGTTTTCATAATCCAGTCAACCACCAGAAGAAAAGGAAAGTTGGGGGGGGAAGGGTAGACAGTCTTGTTTGATTCCGATCCAAATCAATGTTAGACAGAAGACAACTTAACTAACATTGTAACATAACTTTATCATATTGTTGGGGACGATAGGTCCCCAAAACTCATATTTTGTAATTTCATTTTATCGATTAAATTATCGGTTAAATGTCTAAATATTTGAATGGCTGTCGATTGATGAACTTATTGATTAGTGTTTAAAAACACTTTACTATGACAATATCGATTATAGATATTAGTATAAATACGCTTGACTTGTGTGCCTGATTGACTTGACCTGATTGACCTGACCTGAACTGGTATCTGCTGGTTACCTGTAGAATACACTTTCTACGCTTTACCAAGACTTCTTCACCACGTTAGCTGAGTCGGGGACAACGGACCATAATAACCTATCGAGATTCTGAATCCCTTGATCCAACCGATAAGTCACTGACCTATAATCGGCGGCCCTTTGAGATATAACACATATATCGCCCATTCTATTCTTAATTCAATACTATCATTACGATAATGTTTATGTTGATTCATCTTATCCCTTGAGTAAATGGATTTTAACACTATGGTTTGAAAACAGTTATTTCACTTCAATTCAGCTGTACAATACTGACAGCAAGTAGTAATATGAACTCAATCCATACCTAATAATATTAATTGGAATAGATAGGCGAGAAAGAACGCATAGTTTCTAGATTATGTATCATAGTTCTATTACACAAATGATCCCTTACTCATCAACATCATGTATTTCTAATCCTTTTCGGTTATTTGAGTACTATTAATTCAGTATTAGTGTGATCACTAGTCTAACTGATGTGGATACATTGTACAATACATTGAGAAATCGATTAGTTTATAGTGAATAACAAGAAAGTTTAGTATCATGTTCTGTGTTATTCAATCTTCATCAGTAAGGTGTACCTATTATTCGTAAGGTACTTATGGACCTAGGACTGAACTGATCAACAAACATCACTTCCCTCAACATTAATACAAAACATTGATCCAAAGTTCAACATCAGCTATTTTCAACCAACTAACAAACTTGTAATTTACTTATAATAGTTTTGAAACAATATTAAGAATCTGTTAAAGGTTATAGAACATATATTCTAGAATGATCTAAAAACACAATGGTAACCATTTGGTAACAAGTACTTAATAACAAGTAATTATAATAATTGTTACATTCTGTATTATTTACTAGTAGATTTTAGTCATGATGTTTGTTAGAAAAGTTGTTAGTAGTATTTGTTAGTAGTATATATCAGTAATATCTAATAGTAGTATGTATGTAATGATACTTATTTATTAGTTCTGCATATTGATGGTATTCATTCGTAGTATTTGTATGTATTCTTTTATTAGTAGTATATACTACTAGTTAGTTATCAGTAGTATCTTCAAGTCGTATATATTCATTTAGATTCATTTATAAATATCGTATATGAGTATTGATCTAGTACTATTTATTTACCAATTATATTCATCAATATTTATTTAGTAGCCTGAAGTTTGTGCTGATAATGAAAGCTCCACGACTAAAGCATCCAGCTCAGGCAACAAAACTCCATCAAAAGTATTTATTAGTACTTACATACCTATTTTGGCCTGTTACTCCCAATGGAGGATAGGTGACTGACTAGCATTCTCCAACCCAATCTGTCCTGGGCCTTCCCTCATAGTTCCATTCCATTGTTGTTCATTCTTCTCATGTCTGTCTCCATTTCTCGGCGTATTATGTCCTTCTTGGATCTTCCTCCTCTCCTTTGGCCTTTAGGAGTAGAAGTGTGAGTTTGCCTTGTGACGTAGTTGGGTGCTTGCCTCAATGTGTGTCCTATCCACTTTCAGCACTTCTTCTTGATTTCTCCCTCTGCTGGGATCTGGTTGGTTCTCTCCCAAAGTAGGTTACTGCTGGCAGTGTTTGGTCAACGGATCCGAAGTATTTTGCATAGGCAACTGTTGATAAACACTTATATACTCTGAATGATAACTATCGTAGTTCTCCAGGTTTCCACCCCACACATGATTAGTATCTATAAATGCTACCAATTCATAATTTTTACACTAAAGTAATTATTCATCAATAGTACTCATTAGTATTTATTTACTAGTAGTATTGATAGATATTTACAGTCCGTGTTATTCTTTGTAAATTCCATCGTTTTTTTCAGTAGTGTTTATCAGTTTTATTTTTCTGTATTTTTTTCTGGAAGTTCTTTTTAAATAATTCCCTTTTTTATAAGTAAAAATGGATAATAACTAGCATTGGAATTCAGGACAAATGTTTCGTCGTATTTAGGGACTCGTCAGCTGGGTGTACTTACATCTCAGAGTTGATGTTCACTTTGGGACTCGATTCCAGTACTAGTTGCTTCAAACGTCATTGCATTATTCACTTAGCTACTGATCAGCCTCAAATAGGGTGAAACTCAAGCCCTGGATTCCACTGCTAATCACTATCCATCTTTGCTTATAAAAGCTTGTGAATTAAGGCAATATCGAGGCAATACGTACAGTATGAACATATGTCAATAAGAGACTGATCAATTGTAGTCTTAAATATCAATGAGAAGATTCAAATAAACAATATCAAGTGGGAAGGGGTTTTGTGGAGATTTTAGTAATTTCAATGGTTGAAATCATGAGTCAATTAAAGCTAGACGATCATGGAAAACCCGGGAACACTGGATGGCCGTTTCGCCGTAGTATGCGACTCCTCAGCAGTGCGTATACACGACTCCACCTTGCAAGATTCGAGCCTAGGATCAAGGCCTTCCAGTGCTTCCAGTTTTTCTATGGTGGTCTAACTTCTTAAATTCACGATCTCAACTATTGAAATTACTTTTTCTGTTGGATATATTTTACTACTCATAAATAGTTCAATATTTAAATATAAATTGCTTTACTTCTATCATCATAGCATTGCAATTGATCGGTGTCTTATTGGTATATGTACATCCTCTACAGATTGCCTCGATATTATTCTAAGTCACAAGCAAGTCATAAGCAAAGATGGATAGTGACTAGCAGTGAAATGTAGTTTGATGCACGTTTCGTCCTATTCAGGACTCATCGTCAGTTAGATGTACCTACCTACATCCCATAGTTGATAATCACTCCGGGACTCGAACCCAGTACCATTCATTCATTCATTCACTTATTATTATTGTTATTATTGAAATTAGTACATCTTTTTGATATTGTTGAAAACAAAACAACATACAGTGACTAAAACATTAAAGAAATAATACATTTCTCTTTATAAAATGGACAATAGTAAACTTGATTGGATCATGGAAATTCCAGGAAAACGAAATAAACAAACAAACAAATGAAGACCATCTTTTGTTCATAAAGTTGATTGAGTTATTCATTAAATGAATTGAATACTGTTTGTAAATTTTAAGAATACAGTCAACATTTTCATTTGTGTTTAATGTAATAAATAAGTAAGATGAATGAGTTCATTATCTTTGAAGTATTTTGAATTAATAGAATGCTCTACGAAGTTCTGCAACATTCTTAAGTATATAATTATGACTTGTACGTAGATTACTACTATGTGATACTTCAACCCATTTACATTGTTCTTCTGTACCAGGTTCATTGAGTAACTATGGGAAAAGAACAAAGAAAATTTTTTTAAAAATTGAGATCATGAATCGATTGATGTTAGATCATCATTAAAAAACCTTGAAGTACTACATAACCGTTTTGTTCTATTTTGGGACTCTTCTGAAGTGGGCGTCCATGATCCCGTTCCGTGGGATTCCAACTCAAGACCGGTTGGTCTCGCACACGGACGCTTAACCTCTAGGCCATTAAGCTGGCATCCAACGGTGTTAATGTCTTACTTAAACCAATCTATGGAATTTAGCGACCATCTTCCATTTTACTGAGGTAGATACCTATCTCTACTCGACACGGATTGAAGATGCGGTTGGTGCATCATACACTGATATACCGCGAGATTTAAAGATCCTAGCTAAGAAAGCTTGTTGTCTTATATGGTACAAGGTTTTGACATTAAATGCATCAACATGTAGTTTAGAGTGTGGTTTCGGCGGACTAGGAATAACATTTCGTGAACTCAAATCAATAACATTGATGGTTCGTGATAAGAAAGCTGTGAGAAGGTGTATGTATCGGGATACAGAAGATATTAAGAGGTTAGAGAGGAATTTGATCGTGAACGAGACGATTTTGGGTGTTGTTATAAGTACGATAAAAGTTGTCTTTTTCCGGCTCGTCGCACAATGTTTTGTGACAACATATTACATTGATCTGATGTACTTTATCATCTTATTGAATGATCTAAACTTATAAAAGGGACAAATTATTTTGAATTTTTTTTTATTGAGATCATGAATCGACTGATTTTAGACCATCATTAAAAAACCCAGAAGCATTGGACTGTCGTTTCATCCTAGCATGGGACTCCTCAAGAGTACGCATCCAAGATATCAGGATTCAAATCCAGGACCCGTCGTTATCGTGTGGGAACGCGAAAATATTCAGTGATGAACGAATGTTAATGCCAAACTAATTGAATTTATAAACTAGGAATAGAAATATCCAGGATGAGGAGAGTCCTTTATCTCTCTCCAAACACTCTCACATGGTCACCTATATACAGCTACTATCATGGAAGTCCTAATCATTAACTTCGCACCAGGTGTGCTTTTACTAAATTGAGAGGACGAAAAGCGGATGTCCGATACTTTAACTGCGTTGGTGAATATAGAGGATCCACCACCTGAAGAAAGTCGAGAAACCCTGATTCAAAACCGATGGTGTACATGGCCTCCGCGTTCCTGAGGGAACAAATGGCTCATAAACCTATTGTTGGCTACCGGCTATCATGAAATCACAGCTCTTAACGTAACTTCATTGCTTTATGAATTAGAACTGTGGGCCAAAGGTTCGAGAAATGATCCCTCCCCCCCTTATGTGTTTTATTTTTATGTCGAATAGATGTTTTTGTGTTTCAAAAGAAAAATCCAATTATAATATAACTTACCTTTAATATGTCATCTGGTAGTTGAGCTCCTTTACTCTCAGATTCATGTAAATTAATCACAACAGTTTCCATCCATGCACTATCAGCATTTAACTGATCATCTAAGTAACCTTTGAAAATCTAAAAAAAGTTACATAAAAGAGAATTACTTTGAATTAGATTGAACACTTAATAAAAATATAAGAGAATGTTAAGATTTTATTTCCAATATGGCTCATTGGGAAAGGTTAGCTTAACATGATAAGATAAGATGTTGAAATTAAGACTAAATGTAATCAAGGGGGACCATAGAAACAGAAATAAACCAGCTGGGGGTAGAATGTTTAAGGAGAAGATGAAAGGGGAAGCAGATGGCTAAAAAAGAAGAAGAATTTGAAGAAAAAAGAAAAAAAATTATAGCATATTAAGACCATGGTAGAAGAAGAGGTTGGACCAATCTCTATTGAACACACAATTCTGATTTTCCCAGATATATGACTATTGCTTTGGTAATGCTAAGAAGATGCAGTAGAATTGTCTTTGGAAGACTTCTACTTACCTTGTAGATGCCTTTGAACGCAGAGCTTGTCTTGATTGAATGACCTGTGTTCATAAGGTGTTCGATTATTGAACTTCTTATTGAACCGTTTCCTCCTCTTCTTAGTCAATCCGGTTAATATTCTAGAATGCTTTTGAATAAATTATGCATCGAATGACTTATATACCTGGCTATATATGAGAAGGTACATTGATAAATGCACATTGAGTTGGTCCCATGACGTAATTTATCCTTAAGATTATTGATGAACAATGATCAACTGGAGAATACTATTCGCAATGTTGCTTTTAAGAACGGTCATTTTAAAGAATCAAAAATTCTACTGTTTAAGACGTATGTGGCTCTGTCACTCTTAACGTCATTGTTCATGTATAATGTTTTCTTTTCAACTGATGTTATTTGTGTTTTCAGCGGTTTCGGTTTCGGATCAGGCACATACATGCATCGGTCCAAGTTGCCATACGGCATTTGCACAACAAGATGAACACCGGATTTATAGAAGTAGTTAATTCAGTGGTGGTAATATATAAAAGAAAGATTTTGCATATAAAGATATAATACAAGATGAAAGAATTAGTTCGTAGAAGGAAAAGTATAAAGTAATTTTAATCTCATGGTTTAAACGAAAACAAAGAGTGTATACACCTACACCATTGTGATCAATTCTGAACTATGTTACCCAGTGTCTCCAATCATTGGTTACGATAGTTGAGTAGACAGCAATCAAGTAGTCTGCATTTATCAACATAGCTAAGACCAGAAATTTGTGAATTCAAAGACTGATGCCACGTTTTTGGTTTGGCCATCCCTAACTTTCTTCCAACCATCCACAACACTAGTCATGTTATTATTTATGTAATAGTTATTGAATTTATAAAATAAGACTATTAAAATGAGGCTTGGTAATACACTCTCCATTGATATTTATCTTCTGGAGGAATTAAACTTGTTAACCAAACTTATGTGATCGGTAGTTGTGTATTACAAAAACGTTTGTAGTGAAGGAAGACATGGGGGGGACACTCATTGAGTTGTCCTTTACATAATTCATCATCCTGTTGTTATTTCGGTTGCTCTTCAATTTTATTCCTGTTCTGTTCATTACAATCATCTCTATCTTCTTTTGATAAGCATTTTACTTTCGGCTGGTGCTACATACTACTTATATCTGTAAGCATAAGTAGCATATACTGCAGGTTTTCTACCACTCTAACAAGAGTTAGTACTTACTTACTTACTGACGCCTGTTACCCCTCATCGAGGAGTATAGGCCACTCATCAGCATTTTACATCCAACCCTGTCATGGGCAATCCCTCTCAGTTCTTTCCAGTTGTTATTCATCCTTTTCATATCTGCTTCCGATTCTCGGCGGAGTGTGTTCTTTGGTCTTCCACTTTTCCGCTTTCGTTCAGGATTCCAACTTAGCGCTTGCTTCGTGGTGCAGTTTGATAATTTCCGTAATGTATGTCCTATCCACTTCCAACGTCTTCCCTAATTTCCTCCTCAGCTGGAAGCTGGTTTGTTCTCTTCCACAGTAGATTGTTGCTGATAGTAGCCGGCCAACGGATATTGAGTATCTTACATGGACAAAGATTTATAAATACTTGTACATTTTTGATGATGGTTGTAGTAGTTCTCCATGTTTCAGTTCCGTACAATAGAATTAAATGTCTTAACATTTGTATTGAAGATTGTGACTTTGATTTTGGTCGCCAGCTGTTTTGAGTTTCATATATTCTTCACTGGACGCCCATACTTTGCTGATCCTCTCCTTTGCGTGTGCATCGAATCCTTATTGTTCATCAATGATGCTTTCTAGATTCGTGAAACTTTTCACTTCTTCCAGAATTCTTTATCAAGTGTGATTGTGTTGGTATTCTCCGTGTTGTATTGAGGGACCTTGCTTTTTCCTTTGTGTATGTTGAGGCTTACTGATGTAGACAGAAGCTACTTCTAAACCGGATGTCTTTACCTGGATTTGTTTGTGTGTGTGGATTGAAACAGCTAGGTCACCTGTGAAGTCCAAGTTTTTTAATTGATTATGATCTGTCCATTGTATTCCGTGCTTCTTCCGAAATATCAAGGTCATCCTAATCCAATCAACCACTAGAAGAAAGAGAAAGGGGGAGCGTAAGCAGCCTTGACCGAATCCGGTTCTCACTTGGAATGTGTTTGTCAGTTGTCCGCCATGCATGACTTTGCAGTGTAGTCCATCGTATGAATTCCGAATGATATAGACGATCTTCCCAGGTAAACCATAATGTGAAATGTAACGGTCGATTGGCAATATCTTAGTCAGTTGAATTTGAACAAATAGAAACAGTTTCATGTATATTTTGAATGATCAAATTTCAAAGTTGATGTGAAGATAGTAACTTCTATTACGATCCTATTCTTATTCTAATCACCCCATATAGTGTTTGTTAATCATCAGAATTGGATAATACTGCAATTTAATTTACTTCATCTTCACATACGTACCGACCTGAGCATGTTTGATTGCCAGGCTAACTGATTACGATTATAGAATTTTTGTAGTTGAAATCATGAACTGATCTTAGCTAAACCTCCATGTCCAAGGTGAGACAGTTATGCCGAGTAAGCAATCGATGGCAATCATACAATATCGTGAATCTGTAGTGGGATTTACCATGTTAAGCTCATATAACTTATTTTATCTTCTGAATAGGTCCATTTATCTATTCTTCTTGAGTTACGTTTTGACCTTGTTAACTATCCACTCATGAACATTGACTGTTTTTATGAGCGTATGTGTGTGTACACTTCTTATCTTATTCATCATATGTCTGTAACTTATTTTCGTTTGATTCACGCTTGATTAAATTGAGTTGACTTACGTGCATTCCCCACTGCACGTTATTTCGTTTCGCTTCGCTTCCTTCGTTACGTCTCTCTGATTGTCCGTTCCTATCAACGAGTGTACAAGCATACGCATTCAAAAATCCATTCTCGTATTTGGCTTATTTTAATTCCGTTATTCATTAACGCCAGTTAAGTCGATGATTACATACAAGGATTGCTTACTTACTACGCCAGTTACTCTTAATGGAGCATAGGCCGATGACCAGCATTCTCCAACGCACTCTGTCCTAGGCCTTCTTTTCTAACTCTATCCAATTCTTGTTCATTTTTCTCATGTCTATCTCTATTTCCCGGCGTAATGTATTCTTTGGTCTTCCTCTTTTACTTTTACCTTAAGGATTCCATGTGAGGGCTTGTGTTGTGACGCAGTTAGGTGTTTTCCTCAATGTATGTTCTATTCGTCTGGAGTCCCTTCGGGTGCTACTGCCGGTCGCAAGCCCGGATAAAGGAGGAGGGTAGGGCATGGAGTTAGCGACCCCATCCCGTAGAAAACCAACTCGCTAAAAAAACGCTAACCATAAAAAATTATTCAAATTTTTTAAACTCTGCCCTGAGAGTCAGTAGGTCTTCATTTAGAAGAACTATGACGCCTCATGATGAAAGCCGAGTTCCTCCGGAAGTCACGAGGCCGATGTCCCATCTGACAACCAGAGCAACCATTTATTTAGGTACATACGAGGATTGGCGACATGTATATCTCAATAGCAATCAGAAACAATCCAACTGAAGTGAGATATAGGATCATTAAAAGTGGTGAGCTCTACTAGGAATTCAACTCATTAACTTAATGTTAGATAATAACATCGTTGTGTTCTGGCTTAGTGAACTGGATATTAGTTTGCGCGCAAGACCGAAAGTTCTATGTTTGATTCCTATGTGCGAGGTCGTAGATGATCATTGCTGACTTTTCCTATATCAAGATGAGCATTCTATTCAGTGCTTCTAGGATTTCAATGATATTAAGGCTGAGATCATTACAACAAAACTAACCCGACAATCATGATGATTTCATCCAATCCATTTAGGTATAAAATGATTTCACAATCTAAGAGAGATTGGTTAGTAAAATGCACGAAATACATTGTTTACATATGTATTGTAGTTGAACAACACCATATTATAAAGAAAAGAAAACATTCTATTCATTACCTGTGTAACTTCAGCTTTTTCAATACGTTTCAATAATCTTTCAACTCTTTTCTCTGGAAGTATAGCACGTCCTCGACGAGTCACTAAACTGCTTATAATCTTTGGTACACATTCATCAAAATCACATTTGTTTGTATGATCTGTTAAATACTGAAATAATAATAAGAAAAGTAATGATCAACAATATACAATGATGATTAGTCATATTGTTATAACATCTCTCTGTATAATAATTGATACCAATGAAAATAGAAGTATGTTTCCATCATTGAAAACCTGGTGGTGATCTAACATCAATCAGTTCATGATCTCAATCTAAAAACTTAATAATCTCCGCAATCCCATACTGATATTTACCATGTGCTCACCAGTGATTAGCTTTGTGAGGGAATTCTTGAAGTTCTAGTGAGAAGCCATGACTAGTGGAGCTAATCCGTATCGGGTAGAGACAGATATCTACCTCAATATAGTGGGAGTCACGTGATTTCGTGGATTGGCTCAAGTTACACATTAACACCGGTTGAATGCCGGCCGACTCAGTAGTCTAGAAGTTAAAAGTTCTCATGCGAGACTGAATACTCTGGGTTCTAATCCCGCGTTGAAAGATTTGTTGTATTGGTGTTAATAATGAAAAATAATTGTGCGTTTAATCTATGGTGTGTAAATCGTTGACAACTGTCTATTTTGAGATTGATATCAAGGTTAGTATATGACTTATATCTTCTGGAACATTCATACAGTTTATAGTAATCCCTTACAATTTAGTTAACGTTTCTTGAAACTTTGAAATAGACTCAAATCTCTATGATGTATGAATTTATTAAAAGTAATTAGATGGAATGTTCTGATAATTCTAGAATGAGATCACTTCTATTCAGGAGAGTTGATGATAGTACTATTTATAAGTAAAGATGGATGGCAGTTAGCAATGGAATCCAGGACACGCGTCATGTCGTCCTATTTGGAACCCGTCAGCTGATTGATCACTGAATGGTAATTAATGTCATGTATGTCATGTTTTTCTTAGTGCAGATCGAATCCTGTAACGTAGCCATTAGTCTAGGTGACTCGTCATTGCATAAGATGGTGGTAGGAGGTAGTCAACAGGAAACCCTGGACCTAAGTTTCATGCTACCTGTAATTTTGAGGGAATTGATGCTTCCTGACAGATTCGATCCCGTGTCACCTAGCTTCACAGTCAGAGACATTACTAATAAGCCTACAAACACTTCAGATACCCAAAAATTAAATCATTTTTATCTGTATACCTTGAATAGTGATATTAAATTCATACATTTAACTTACCCATGGCATACATAATCTCTTATTACGTTCTAATGCCAAATATTGTAATACACCACGATTACTTCTTATTACTTGTACACCAGTACGTGTATCTCTTGTCCATCTTGTAATACATAATACAAATGAATGATTTGGACCCCAACGTGGTAATAATCCTTTACCTAATAAACCTGTTCTACCCATTGGATTTAATGGTGCACCTGTTGTTGAATCTAAACGATAACGACCAAGTAAACTTTGTCTACGTAATTTAGCTTTAGAATCATATTGATTAAAATTGATTGTACGTAGATGTTCACTATGTTGAAAAGTAAATACGATGTTTCCATGGGTAAAACTAATAATAATAATAATGTTATCATGAATTATAATGTATAACATTAATGATACATGTTTAAGTATAGTGTATTCAAATCATTTCATGAATTGGATAAGGAATCCGTTGAAGAATTCATATGTGTTTTGACGAAATCATCGATTTGATTGATGAAGAGAAGAAAAGTAATAAGTGGTCTTTAGACTCAAATCTATCTTTGTTTTGTAATAGAGATGTTTAATCTTTAAGCACAGAGACGATTCATCATGCAGTTATAAGCAGTCATATATGACTAATTATGCAGGATATAAAGCATAACAGTATACTCATATTATACTTGATGTGTTAGTAACTGATATTATAATACAATCATAATATGCAACTTTATGAATGATGATTGTGTTAGTCTATGAATGAATTGTATATATATACAATGAATAATAGATATCATGCATTTAACAAAAGTAGAGTCGTGGATGTGCACTGCTGAGCAGTCCCACAGTAGGACGAAAAGGCCGTCCAGTGCTTACAGGTTTTCCATGGTGATCTGTCTTAGCCATTGAAATTACTATAATATCCAAAAAACCCATCTGATATTAATCAACATATGCTCACTAGTAACTGACTTCACGAGGTATATCCTGGAGTTCTAGTGAGAAGCAGTGACCAGTGGAGTTCAACCAGGTCTGTTTTAAGATAGTAACGCACTGAAGACAATGGTGGATATGTCAATCAATTTCATGGATTAGTTGAAGTTAGACATTAACACCGTTGGATATCGGCTCAGTGGTCTAGTGGTTAAGTGCTCGCGCGCGAAGCCAGTAGGTCCTGGGCTCGAGTCTCTCAGGGTGCAAGGTTGTGGGTGCGCACTGTTGAGGAGTCCAACAGTAGGAATCTAAAAATACTGATAGCGTTCAATTAAGCTCTTAGAATTATTCAAAATATCAAAGTAACAGAAGTTTTGATCATCTTAGTTTAAGTCTACTTATAATCTAAGACTGTAATGAATCAATTTTCAATACAAATTTCAAGAAAGTTCTACTGTATGGGAGTCGGAAACTTGGAGAACTACAAAACCATCATCCATGAGATACAGGTGTTTATTAATAGTTTCCCATGTGAAATACTTCGGAGCCGTTGGTCAAACACTATCAGCAGAAAATCTACTGATCCCAGCAGAAGAAGAAATCAGGAAGAAGCGTTGGAAGTGAATAGGACACACAATGAAGCAAACACACAACTGCCTCACAAGACAAGCCCCCACATGGAATCCTCAATTCCAAAGGAGAGGAGGAAGACCAAAGAACTCATTACGCCGGGAAATGGAGATAGACATGAGGAAAATGAACAAGAATTGGATGGAACTAGAAAAGAAGGCCCAGGACAGAGTGAGTTCGAGAATGCTAGTCGGTGGCCTATTCCCCATTAAGAGTAACAGGCGTAATTAAGTAAAGTAATCAATGTCTTCAAACTGATACAGTATGATCTAGGTACTGAATCGAAATTTTTTTTAAATATGTCAATTTGATAAACAATATTCCAGTGAACTAAGATTTAGGTGGAGAGAACCAATTTATTGTTTCATTCATAATCATACAATAGTTTAACAAAATGTGTATTCATACATCAAATACATCATTTACACATCTTTCAGTTGTCCTCTACATCCCTCATGATCCCCTCAATTCTGTTTTGATTCCAGTACCTTTCTGTCCCCTTCAATTCTCCCATCTCAATATTCTTCTCATAAACGTTCTACTACTGATCGGCATTACATACTACTTGCATCTGTCAATATAAGTAGCATACACTACAGTATTACTTTTAACAAACGATATTGATGGATATTTATTTCATTTCTTACGTCCTTGATTCTATAAAACACATCATCTCAATAAAAGGAAGGACAATATGCTTTTAAATTCTGTGTAATGTAAGCCTTTGAACCGATACAAAACGATACAAATGATACAATGATCCATGTGAACTAATATGAATTCCTTCTTGTTTGTTTGGTCTTCATCAGTTGCTTACAACCTATAATTTTGTAATGAAGTAATTGAAAACAGATCAATGATAATAAAGGAAGATGTGAGTTGAACTCTGATTAGCGTCTGGTTAGTTGTCTTTTCAAGATACTCAATATTCATTAGCCAGCTACCATCAGCAACAATCTACTGTGGGAGAGAACAAACCAGCTTGCAGATGAAGAAGAAATTAGGAAAAGTCAGTGGAAATGGATAGGGCATACATTACGCAAACCATCAAGCAGCATCACGAAGCAAACCCTAACTGGGAATCCTGAAGGGAAGCGGAAAAGAAAAATGCCTGAGAACACATTACATCGTTGAATAGAAGCAGATATAAAAAGGATGAATAACAACTGGAAAGTGATGGAAAGGGTCGCTCAGGACAGAGTTGGATGGAGAGTGCTGGTGAGCGACCTATGCTCCTACACGAGGAGTAACGGTCATAAGTAAGTAAGAGATGAACTTCATCAAACCGAACCAAAATTATGAATTGAAGAAAAATGGCGGTGATGTGATCAAAAGTTGAGAAAGATTTGAAACAGTGAATGGTGTTATGAAATTGATATAATGTTACCAGGGTGAAGAATGACTTATTACTGCCTCTTTCTAGATACATAGATGTGATTTTAGACGTTTGATCGCTATAGCTTTAAAGGATTTCAAAAGACTGGAATTTGATTGTTTAATCATTATCTTGAAGGACTTCAGTGTATTCATATGATGTTCTGTATCAAGGAGATGTCTCAAAATGGCAATGTTGATTGCTTTTAATCCAATTAATCTTATGTTCTTTGAATGGAACATAGGCACTTCTTTCAAATCTACCTATATAATTACTATGGCAGATATATGTGAATTTTTATACGCAGCTATAGCGATCAAAGGTCTAGAATCAGATCTATGTGTCCTAAAAAAAACAATAATATGTCTTTGTTCACTCTAGTAAGATTAAACCTTTTTTACATATTAAATCATTCATTATTTCAAATCTTTCTCAAGTTTTGATTACATCATTGTCATTCCTCCTCAATCCATAATTTTGGTTCGGTTTGACCGATTTCAACCCACATCTTTCTTTATTAACGTTAAGCTATGTTTAGTTACTTCATTACAATATCATCTAGTTGAAAAACGTGGTAGATAGGATGGATTCACCTAAGGGAAGTTAAGAAACTCTGATTCCAAATCAATGGTGTACATGTTCTCTTAGATCTTGAGGGAACATATGTCTCATAAACCTATTGTTGGCTATCGGCTATCATAGGACTACAGCTCTTAATGCTTCTTCACTGCCTTATGAATTAGATCTCTAGGTCAAAGGCTCAAGAAGTGGTCCCCTAAAAAATCATCTTCAGTTTTTGCATCCAGACAGTATTCTAGCTCTTAGACACAAATCGAATGACGAAGTGAATCACATATATATTTGGTACCTTCTTGTACCACTATTTATGTGTCTAAATAAAGATTTGAGATTGAGAAGATTCAAATGAAAAGAAGAAGGGGTTTTGTGGAGATTTTAGTAATTTCAATTGTTGAGATCATGAAACTAGATCATCATGGAAAACCTGGAAGCACTAGATGGCAGTTTCATCCTAGTATGGGACTTGTCAGCAGTGCACATCCACGATCTCCCCCTCTTCCCCTCGAGATTCGGACCCAGGACCTAAAAGATTGATCCATTCATGATCTCAATCAATAATATAATTCAGTTACATACGATATAACGATGTTGTTATGGTGATAGTTTAACATTGAATGATAAGCAATGAAAGTATTACGTGCTAAAAGGAAACACATAATCATGCTTCATGTATTGTAAAATTATAAAAAGAAAAACCCAGCATGTTAGTAACTAATTATGCAATAGAAAATGCAATGGAATACAGTACACTTAAGTAATCATTAAAACATGCAATGAATAAATGAAAAAAAAACAATTTTATCCTACTTAACACCATCATGTGATTCTTCTGATGGGAATAATAAAACTTCTTCACAAGCATCATATGCAAAGTAATCCGGATATTCCACCTATTTATTCAATGAAAGTATATGAATAAAGTAGGTATAAATGTACAATTGAAACTATGATATAGAATAGTAATAATCAAGTCAGTTACATATTTTTGATCGAGATCATGAACCGATTGATGTTAGACCACCGTTGAAAACCCTGAAGCACTGGACGTCCGTTTCGTCCTAGTATGGAACTCCTCAGCAGTGCGCATCCACGATCCCGCTCGCGGGTTTCCAAACTATGGCCTTCAGTCTCGCCTGTGAACGATTAGCCTACTGGACCACTGAGCCAGCATTCAATGGTGTTAATGTCTAACATCAACCAATCCACGAATCCCGCGAGTGGAATCGTGGATGCGCACTGCTGAGGAGTCCCATACTAGGACGAAACGGACGTCCAGTGCCTCCAAATTTTCAATGGTGGTCTGACATCAATCGGTTCATGATCTCAATCAAAAACTCAACAATCTCCTTAACCACTAAACTGTCAATCATATATGATGTAAAACTTGGACGTGGTTCAACTTATCAGTGTACATTAGCATAACAAAATAAAAAAATGGTGTATGCTACTGGTGACAGATATAAGTAGTATGTATTAATAATCTAAAGGGATATAGCTGGTAGTAGTCGGTTAAAAAGATCGCAGAGAACGAGAACAGAGAGTGATTAGTGTGGAAATGAAGGAACAGTCAAGTCTGAGACAGTTGTTTGATATTTTGCATGTTAAAGAAGAACAAGAGTACCACCATATTACCCAAAGTGTATTTAAGCATTAGTTACGACAGTTGTCCAGACCATAACTGGGTAATTTGTACCTAATAACACGTTTACGTTCATTGTCGCATTTTGGTTAGATCGCCCATAGATTATTTCTAACCTACTCCAACCTATACTAGCTATACTTAGTTAAAACTAGACGTTTATTCTCAATATAATGGTTATGAACCTATGAGTGACTAACTTCAGTAATGACTTCTTGAAGTTCTATTGAAGTAATGAAATCAGAAACAAATGAAACAGATGTCATCTGTTTGATCTAAGTTGTTAATGTTATACATCATATTTCACCTGGTTATGTCGCATTTATATCCAAGACATGAGGTGTAATATGTAGGGGCTGGTACTATGTCAAGCACACATAGGTTATTCTAGCCTCTGGATGGATCAATCTATTCATTCCTTCTCAAAACACATTTTTACACTGTCACTTATTCACTTATCAAACATAACTGCTTTTGTATGAGTGTACGTGTGCGCGTCATTTCATTTCGTATCACTCAGTAATAATATACGAGAATCGACGACATGTAAATTTCAATGGCAATCATTCTATAATGATCATTTGTCCGGTCAAATTAGAGTTATATCCTGAGCCACTAAAGTGGTGAGCCCATCGACATCATCGTCCAATTTAAATGGCGTCAAAATAATGGGCCAATGAAAATACATGACAAAACAGGATTGGCCAATTTAAATACAAATGACATGACTATGATTTATAGATAAACCAATCACGTATAAAATAATAGGTCTTGGATTTAGGCGCGAAAGTCACTTATCCATTTGCATAAATAGCGTCTTGGCATTTTAACTGATGTCAGTTCGTCATGAAAATTATAAATCTAAACTTTAACCATAACGATCAACTGTAAATCATAATCCTTATTCTTCACACAAGTTCATAACCTTCATTTAGTCCTAGTTGGTAGGTCGACATTTTCAAGGTCACTTTAGCGTCATTCAAAGGTCGTCCATAGATTGTGGTCTTGTGGTGTGAACTACTTATATTGATATAAGTAGTATATAACGTCCGTTAAAAGAACGTAATGTCTGGCAGCGGAAGATGGCGAAGATCAAGAAAGGTAGAGCGAGAACACAATGGAATTTGTAAGAAAATGTATGAACAATGGAATGGGGGACAATGGATTGGTTTTTGCAACAGAAACAGTCCAGTTTGGTTTGATGTATGAATATTTTGCAAATTGATGATTGACTATATGGTATTCAGATTTTGTTCAGATAGACTGTAATTGTTGTGCTAAATACATCCGTTCGTCCCCACCTGTGTTCTCGTTCACTACAGTCTGACCAAACAAATTCATGTGTCTTATCTGTTAGAAGAAAAGTGATAATCAACTACTCTAAGCCAAAAGATTGATTGATGGAAAAGAAAATAGATGAATGAAACAGTCACTGTAAAAAATGTCAGTTGGATAGGCCTGTGTTCTGGACTTCATGGATTAATTGAATTTAGTTGAAGTTAGACATTAACACCGTTGGATGCCGGTTGGCTCAGTGGTCTAGTGGTTAAGTGCTCGAGCACGAAACCAGTAGACCCTGGGTTCGGATCTCTCAGCAGGCGTGGTCGTGGATGCGCACTGCTGAAGAGCCCCACGATAGGACGAAACGGCCGTCCAGTGCTTCCAGATTTTCCATGGTGGTCTAGCTTCAACTGACTCATCATATTAACCATTGAAATTACTATAATATCCACGAAACCCATCTGATATTCATGGATTAGGTCTAATCCAAAAAGAGACTTAATAAACCGTCTTTTTAATTATAGTGAGTTTATTTACATGAATGATATCATAGAAGATCCAATAAATCTCACAGATCATACATTTTCAAAAGTATTCAAACCGTTCGACTCTGAACCATACCTATCATTCAGTAGGGAGTTAAAGAATGACTTTACATTGAAACTTGGTTTTAAATCGGTAATTAGTTGAACTTTTATAACCACAGTTAGAAAATAACTTTAAGCTTCACTGAGACTGAAATAGCATGAAGCGGTTACATTTGTAAGTATGTTTGTACTTCTCAGTAAGTAGTCCTCATTCACAGTTAGTAGTGACAAATGGTCATGAAAACAAATAAACACATAGTATTGTTGAACAGATCCAGAAAAGTTCTCACACCTTTTCTCTCGTGTTCAGATTGTGGGTTTAGATTTAGCCTGAAGGTTGCTAGAAGACATTAGGAAACCAAACCTAACATTCCGTTTAAGCGCGTCACTTCGTCCTATTTGGAACTCGTCAGTTGGATGTACCTGCATCTCAGAGTTGATGTCCACTCCACCAAGTACCGTCTGCTTCGAAAACCACCTCGTTATCCACTTAGCTATCGAGTCGCGACAGCTACCTGCTTTTGCTAACGAGTCCCAAGTAGGACGAAACGCGCTTCCTGAAGTCCACTGATAGCCACTGTCCATCTTTGCTAATTATTTGAAACTTTTCAAAATACCTTTTGTCAAATGAATTGACTAAGCTTAATAGTTAAACATCATGTGTTTAGTATAATCAAATGAAAGTAACTATTCATCTAGTGAAATACTTACAGTCCATGCCATTCGTTCCGGTGGTACATTCATTCTCATACCAGGATATTTTTCAAAATTAAATGGAGCCATTCTCCATAATCGATGATCACCTAATGTTCTTTCAATAACTCTTCCAGTTTTAATATCTGGAACTTGAGGTACTATGACTGGATCAGCTGAAGGATCACCACCTTCTTCTGAACCACTTGAATCATCTTCGGATCCAGGAACAACAGCAGCTAATAGAACAGGTGATTCCCTGAAGAAATTACAGAATATGTTAAATATTTAATACATGATATAAACTGAAATAAAAGTCAGCCTTGGTTGACTGTGGTTAGCCTGAAAAGTAATCTGTTTGTTTTTACCGTATTAATTGATCAGTATTTGGCTGCTTTTATGGACGATAAATGAGATATAGCTAGTCATATGATCACACCAGTTACTGGGTTGTTTTAAGTTGTGAATAAATTAATCCTTATGTACTCAAGATGCCCAACTTCAAGACCAACAGACTGGATCCCTTAAAGGTCGATTGTATACAGACCAAATTGCAGCACTACGGATCATTGTGGAACAATCAGTTAGATGGAATTCATCATTCTACATCAAATTCATCGACTACGAGAAAGCATTTGATAGCGTGGACAGAACAATATTATAGAGGCTTTTTGACACTACAGCGTGCCTGAGAAAATAGTCAATATCAGACGGAATTCTTATGATGAATTAAGCTGCAAAATCTTGAATAGAGGACAGCTGACAGACCCGTTCGAAGTAAAGACGAGTGTCAGGCAAGATACAGATGATTTCAAGTGAGACTCCTCATGATTTTTGTTTGTTAGTCTTTAATAGGATGAATGAATTATCATCCATTATCAACTTCATTACTAATAAAGACACAAAGAAATGAAATTTTTGTTCTGGTTGTATTATCAAGACTATAATTTATCGACGAACCAATCAGATTGACGACAATAGATGTTGGATTTTAGCGCGAAATTCATTCCAACATTTGATTAAATAGTTTTTATTCAATATCGTCATATACATGTACATAAAAACTCACTCACCTTGGAGGTGGAGGAGGTGGTGGCGGTGGTGGTGGTGGTGTTGGTGGTCGTAGTACATCTTTAGCTGCTTCTAATGCAGATTGAATAGCTACTTCTAGTTTTGTACGTTTTCTAGTTTCTGCTGTTCCTGAATCAGCTTGAGTTGTAGTGGATTTTTGTACAGGAACAACCTCATCAGTGAATTCATTACATTGACAAGTAGGAAGTTCATTTATTTGTCGAATAATCTATAAAATGATACAGAACTCAGATTGTTAAAAAAAATCCATCAGGATAATAGTATTATTTCATCGAATCCGTTTTAATCAGTTAACATCTCTGTGTAATAGTGATAAGCTGTCATCGAAACCATCGTTATCTACATGTGGGCTTGTAGTCCCAGTGACTGTTATGTTAGAATAACCACTCTCCAATAACGGTTTCGTCTGATTCATATTGGTTGTTAGAATATATACATCTCACGCGCATATGCAATGGTATGGCCGAGGGTGGGAAGAGTTATTTCTCCCTCTCCAAATGCTCTCATATGGCCACACGCATGCAGCCACTGTCAGGGAAGTCCTACACACTGACTTATTTCAGATAAGGTATTGGTTACGAAAATGAGAGGATGAAAAGCGAATGATTGGAGCTTAGGACGGGTCGGTGGATATAGAGGATCCACCTAGAAGAGTTGGAAAATTCTAATTTCAAACCAATGGTGCACATGGGCTCCAGGATCCTGAGGGAACAAATGGCGTATGAACCAATTATTAGTCGACCTTTAGGTCGAAGGCTCCGAGTTTGACCCTCTAAGAAAACCACCTGCTTCAATCTGGGCACCCGGGTAGTACCACAGCTCACACACAAATCAAGTAACTTGTTTGGCGCAAATATATTAGGTGACAATATACCATGCATTTTAACAGTTAATAAATGTTTGTATTTGCATGAAAATAAGTATCATCCTACTTTGTTTGTTGTAGAACTATTTACAGTTTTTATTTATTCTCCAACTTTATGCCCTTCGCCAACTATTAGTTACTGTGAATGACACTAGTTCAAAATACTTCACCACTACTACTGTGATATGTGCTATTGATGTCGACAGATATAAGTAGTATGTTCGACCAATCAAAAGTGAAATGCCTGGAGCCAGAAGGTTAAGAAGCTCGAAGAAATGAGAATGAGAACAGTGAATGTTCGATGTAGAAACAAAGGAACAATCAAGTTTGAGACAATTGATTGAAGTATGATTATCAGATTCTACCAAGATATTCTGTAATGTTTTCTTAAAATACATTTGATTGTTCCCACTTGTTCTTTAACTATTTAAGTGTAGTTTTATTCACGGTGGTAGATTGTTTGGTCCTGGAATTTTGATTATTCTTCTGAACAACATTGTGCTAATGATGTTGTTCAGAAGAATAATGAAAGCTCATGCTATATCCCAATAAGAATAATGAATGGTAACTTTTGGGATCCATTTATGGACCAATACTATGAGTATATTTTTATGGTATAATTGTTAAATAACTAAACTATTCATATTCATATCCCTCTCATCATAAGCTTTAATCTGACTCATAAACTGATATTATACGATCTACCATTCTTGAGTTATGCCCTATCTATCAATTACTACCTCCTACATTCACAGCCACATTTGGCTAGATCTTGTACAAATGTTGTTTCATATTTTATGGTGCGTTGTGGTCTGCTCGGTTGATACATAAATCGAGTATGTTTGAAATATAACGATTCATATCGCAGAGGCTGAGATTGGTGTTCTGGACTTAACTGGCTGTGCTAGACAGGAAGCGAGACCAATAAGGACTCTAGGCTGCTCGTAGGTGTTTTATGCATCACTGGTTCGATCGACAATTTGCTGCTCTCTGATTGGCAGGGCACACAGGTTCACAAGTTATAACAGCTAACTATTGTCAACTTACTCGTTGTTGTGTTTCAGTCACATTACTGATTACTTCAGATAAATTTGTTAATAATTGTGTTACATCATTCAAACGTGAATCGACATCATTAAAACGTTGAAATTGATTATCAATCTCTTTGAAACGTTTTTCTAATTCCATTCCAATACCCTGGGAGAAATAGAATAATACCAAAAAAACAACAATGATAATGTTGTTATTGGAAGGGAGGAACTCAATAAATTATAAACGAGGCCAACTACCTCTCTCCTACCTTGTTAACAATAATGCGCTTACTAATCACTAGTTTGAGATATATTTCCCAAAGCCCTATTATGGTACTATTCCTGATGTATTATAACTAACCGTTTTAAGAATGAGCTATTTATCCACTAATGACATAGATTAGTTATGGTATTGGATCGTGAATTAGCAGAAGTTGGAAGTATAAACCATTGGATACTGCAATAGCTGTTAATAAACATCTAATTAGTCATTATATCAATAAGTCTATAGTCCGATTTTGTATGTCAGCATTGATGAGTGGTTTGCAACTATGAAAAACAAGAAGTGTCCAATGTTCTATGCCTTTAAGTGTTATCTGAACTTACATTCAAAACAGAAAACTTGTACAAATACCACAATCATTATGATCAAAACTAGGGTTACAAGAAGAAGGCTCTGAGATTTCTGTCATTTCTGACAGAAAAGCTTTATAGTTACATCATCTGTTTCAGACGAAGCATCATTTACAAAAGCATAGCAGTTTACTAAAGATTACAAATAGATTGAATTACTTAACTATGTATGGCAAGTGAATACAATTCACCATAGTAGACTAATGTAATATGTGGCAAAACTAGAGGTTTAACTTGTTTTAAATTAATAAAACTGTTTGCTTTTATTAAATCCGCCAAAACGGAATAGCATATACTGGGACACTCTAGTTATATTGTCAAGTATACTGGTCATATGTTTAAAATATCCCTGATTTCATTTCAACTAATCAACATACGTTCATATTGTACACTGATATTCTAAACAAATTTAGATTATAATTGAATAGCATTAATATTACCTCTGTAACGCTGGACATTTCACTTTTTAAATCCATTACTGGTCCTTGACCAGGACCAACACCTCCACCACCACGAAATACCACAGCACGTGATTCAGCTACACCTCTTTTCCCAGTTGCTTTAGTTGATGGTTCTCTTAAATAATCCATAGCTTTCATATGCTCCCATTTGACCATTTCTCTTTCTTTTTTCACATCGGTAAATCGTACACCTTAATAAATAAAACAATTGTGAGATAAGCATATCAATGTGCAAAGAATAGTGAAGTTATAAGTACTGATTCCCCGAAATGGGATGGAAGACAACAAACAAATAGAGAATGTGAAAAAAACATAATAAAAGAGTTTATAAATTCATAACTATCCAAGGAAGGGACAGAACTTTCACGAATTTCTTCCGAATTCAAAAACTTGGGATCATAGGTTCTGAACCTAATCACTTCCGCTATATGTAGGAGATTGAAAATGACGAAGGTATATAATACATCATTCGAAATGATCATAAACAATATCGCTAACCAAATACTCGTTGAATTATAGTTTTGAGAAATAGGACTTTGTTATTAGCCGTCAACATCTGAAACTTAATTTTTCATGTTTACGTGTACTTCTTTAAAAAAAACGTCAGAAGCAGTTCATCTCCATCAGTATGCTACTGATAAACTACTACTCATTTATAGCATCCATTGAGCAGATTATTTTTGCTCCACACATTAGACATGTAACCAGATTTCTTTTGTAATGGATGTGTGTCGTCAAATAAACGATCTCATTCTAAATAGGCTTCTACTTAAACGAGCTACCATCTTGTAACTGTTAAGAATCAGTTAAAATACATACTGGATTAATGAATAAAGGGATCATTTACATCGAATTCACATGACAATTCAAAGCTACACATAAATAAGTATCATAATTTACATTGATAACCAGAATTATTAAAAAAATAAACAGATTGATTTACAAAATGGATTATATTTTGCTGTTTCAGCATTTCTTAAACTTGCGCATTGATTTCCAATAGCTTTATATGCTTCATAGAAATGCCAAACAATGATAATTGGTGGAGCAAGTGGTGATCTATGAACATAATCATTGATCATTTGATATCTTTGATAATTCCAATAGTATGTTGATGCACTCTCTATTTCTTCGTAGGTTTTACTGAAAAAACATCAATTAAATTTAGGCTACTTATATTTAAAACAGTAGTTCATCTTGTAAATTAAAAATAAAGAGAAACAGTGTCTTATTTTCCACATTGATTTACAATAAATTGAAATCAGTGATAATTTAATAAGAAAATCTTCAGGTTAACTCTATGAGATTCTTGGTATTAAAACTAAAGATCATATTCATCCCCATAATAATAAACTCGAAGATGCCACAGGTATTTGGAGTTGGACAACACTTTAACCAGTAACACGTTCTACTATGCATCGTATCCACCAAGTGAAATCAAAAAACAGAAGCTAGGAGGTTCAAAGATATATTTGAAAATCTATCAATATATCGTGGATCGACTGATCTAATCTGGCTACCGATTGCAGGGGATGTTGAGCACGGCGTTCCCACTCGTGATCTGGTGTGGATGCATAACTGAGCGCCTTCAATGTGGTGAGTCCATTAAAACTAATGTGGTCAGTGTCTAATGTTGGAGACTTACAAAGCTATTTATTTATGGTATTTATTAACCGTTACAAACTTATTAAATCGATCTATCACTTTATGGTCACCAAACCAAAATGTCAAATTGAAATCTTATTAAAAGTGACTTCAAATACCTGAATGTGTTTTTTTCTGTATCAAACATGTTATCGTTTTTAATGAACAATTCTCAATAACAGTTCTATAAAACCAACAATAAAAGATTGAAAGGCGAGACTTTAATTTACGGACAAACTAATCAGGTATAAGATAATAGGTCTTGGATTTTTGTGCAAAGTTCACTCATCCATTTGTGGTTAAATAGAGTTTTGGCATTATAGCCAATGTTAGTTTATGGTAAAAACCTTAAATCTAATTCCTAACCCCTAACCATCAACCGTAAATCATAATTTAAATTCCTTATAGTGATTTATAACCCTCGTTTGGTTCCGGTTATTAAATGGACACTCTCAATGTCAAGATTAGATGGTGATTGAAGGTAGTCAACAGGAAACCCTGGACCCGTGTTTCGTGCTACTTGGCACTCGTCAGCAAGGTGTACCTGTAATCTTGAGGGAACTGGTGCTCTCTGGCGGATCCGATCTCGTGTCACCCAGTTTCACAGTCAGAGATGTTACCACTGAGCTGTCCGAGCCGCGACCGAACTCCTGTAGGATTGAGATGTAATCACAATTGATTAATCACTGGGTGGCGATCAATGTCTTGCGTGTCTAGTCTTTATTAGTGCAGATCGAATGCTATCGACACACATGACATTGATCATCACCCAGTGATCAATCAATTGTAACTCTCAAGGTCAGTTTAACATCGTTCAGAGGTCGTCGATAAATGATAGACTCATCGATTGAAACATTATTTCTTTTAAAAAAATAGTTACAGAAACTATGACACAGATATAATTTGGTCAGTTCAATGTGCAGACCAATGAATATATAAATCTTCCAGTAAACTCAACTTATTACTTTCTTTATCTAAACATATAAACATGGATACAAGAAGGTATCGAATACATATGTGCCACATTTCGTCATTCGATTTGTGTGAGAGCTAGAATACTGACAGCTGTCATTTAAACCGAAGTAGGTTGTTATCCTGGGAGGCCACTCTCCGAGTCTTCGACATACAGTTCAAATTCATAAGGCAGTGGAGTAACGTAAATTGAAGGATGAAGACATGTACGTACTAATGAAGCGATTGGAATTTTCAACAATAGTATTTACTCATAATTTCTGAGTCTCAATCGTTATACAGCTCTTAATTGGTGGTGGTAAAACAAACTCTTGTGATATAATAACCTAATAAAATTGTAATGGAACTCAAAACATCTGTCAGTTAACATCAAAGTTCGAATCTTTGATACAGTTCTAGACATCAAAACGAAGAATAGTAACTGTAAACAACTGAAAAGAATTGTCCAAGACATAGTTTGATGGAGATTTTAGGTGGACAGCCTATGCTCTTTCACGAGCGGTAACAGATATAAGTCAGTAAGTAAATAAATAATAAATTTTAATGATTACACTTACGAAAACATGGCAATAAGTAAGTTGAACATCAGTATATTAGTTAATAATACATAGAATCCAAGCATAATAGGTACAAGCCAACGTGATGTTTTCGTAGGGCACATATGATTTTGACATGTTCGATCTATGCAATGAATAAAATAGTAAAAATTATTCCACTGTATTGCTACTAGTACTAACCATAACAAAATAATGAGGAGGTTGGCTAGCAACTATTAATTATTACACTTATGGAATGTATCTTGTTCTAGTTACTTTCCGAACAGATTAGATCATTACAGATTCTTTAGACTGGCAATTCATAACTACACAGAAATGTACATTTACAGTTCAAGTGACATCTGGTAAGCTATTTAAGTTGATTACTGTCAAAATAATACATCGTATTGTAGAACATCTGAAGAACTTCATTGCATATCAAGACTTATCTGTCAGTTTTCCAATATGAATATACTAACCTGTATTTGGAGTAGTAGCCAATATAGTGGCGAAGATTTGTAGCTCAGGTGGATGATTTTAATGGAGTTTTGTTCTCTGAGCTGGATGGTTTAGTTGTGAAGCTTTCATAGTTCTTCTGAACGACATCATCAGAACTAACTTCAGGTAGAAGTTATCTGATTCACCATTAAGAAGGTTAGATGTAAAGTGAATAATTTAAGTAATAGGCAATTCTATGAATAGAATTTTTTATTAAACGACTTCATTTATGTAAGCTGTACAATCGTAGTTAAAATTAATCTCAGGAGGCAATCAAAGCAAAATGTGGAAACTTTAATGACTAACAAGATTAGTTATTAATCTAAACTTGTGGATCAGTCTATTGAGCACCAGTATTAAATCACCACATTACTGACTAAAATTTGATAGTTTGAATTGAGCTACTTGTAAGTAGTTAACATTTTTGTGAAAAATAAAGTAACAAAATAAATCCCACATGTCAATGAAGGCAATTCAACGAATAAAACTTTCTGTTAAACGACTTCGTCTAGGTAAGCTGTGCAATCGTATTTATAGTTAACTTATTCATTACAAGTAGTAGTCAGCAGTAAACTAGAATGATGTTGAGTGATTAAAACAACGTGAATTGGGATTGTATAGTAAGTTGTTTGTAGAAACCAGATATTAGACTGGTGAATAATAGTAAGGTAAAAAAAAAGTTCAATTTACAGCTGTTAAGAATAGAGTAGTGACACCTTGTAATACTGGCTAATTAACACATACCAAAACGATTGAAAAGAAGTAGAAATAACTGATCAATCTTCTGATTGAACGCTAGATTGGGTTTCCTAAGCCTAAATCTAAACTACAATCTGAACACGAGAAAGAAGAAATGAAATATAGAAAAAACGTTTTACTCCAAAAGTTTGTTCATGTACAAAAAACCTAGGGTATTTATAGTATTTTAAATGGCCTTGGGCTTCCGGAAGATTCTGGAACGTTTCTAAACATAGTATCAGTATGAGTAATCGTCCAATCAGAAACGCGACATGTGACTTTCCACTTTCTAGACGTCTATGATAAAACGTCTATTGAATGCTGATTAGACAAGAGATTTCCCAGAGTTTTCAGAGCCTATTTTTGGCCTTTTTAGAGAAATTTTTCTAAATCTCCCCAACAATAATAAAATGAAAAACGAAAGATTACCAAAGATAGAAAGGAAAGTTAAGTGCGTGTGATAATAACGGACTCAACATATTTTTCTGTTTGAGATCACCACTCGGTACAATTCTAGATGACATTTTCAATGTCTATCTCGAACCCACTATATTTAGACTAACACTATGAATCTCTATTGTCATTACATTTCGTACGAAAAGTTTAACTACTCACAAGTAGCTCAATTCAAACTACCAAATTTTAACCACTATTGTTAAAAGTTATGATGATTTAATACTGATGCTCAATAGACTAAACCACAAGTTTAGATTAATAGCTGATCTTGTTAGTCACTTAAGTTTCAACATTTTGCTTTGATTGTTGTCTGACTTCATTCAAGGACGGATAAGGACTCTATATTGCTTATATGGGTTTTATGGGTCATTAGTCCAGTCAATAAATCAATGCTCTCTAATTGACGGTATCAGTAGGTCATATGTAAATATGACAAAAGGCCATAAGTTATAACAAGATCGTTCAACTAAAATCTCCTTATTGAAATACAAACTTATCCAATAACTGTCAAATTAAACCACTGTACACAACTTTAGAAAAACGAATGATGAAGATTCCCATATTGGGACGAAACAGTCGTTCAGTACTTCAAAGTTTTCAATACTGATCTAACATTCATCAATTCATGATCTCAATCAAACCCATAAAAATCTCCACAAATCCATACAGATGACGTTTCGTTTGTTTTTGTTTAACTTCATCAATTCAATAAATAACAATCAATTATTCATACTAATTATAATATACCGAACAATTCAACTTACCTTCTCCTTGTAATGCATCTAAACTAAAATCACCAAACATTTGAAAATATGCGGTTGTATACATTGAAAATATAATATCAGCAAATGTCATATGTTTAATTTCAGAATCTTTAATGTATTTATGAACCCAATTAGATCGTTTTTTTTGGAAATAGAACCGGGGAGTTCGGATAAGGTTAGAATAGGAAACAAAACAATAACAAAAGAGAATTTAGAGAAGACAAGCATTACTACTATTACTATTATTAGTACTATTACTATTATTATTACTATTATTATCATCACCATGACCGTTACTCCTACCATTACTCTTACCATTACTATTACCACTACTATTACTATTATCAATATTATTATTATTGCAATCAAGCTTGATGATTAGGTATATATGAAAATGAATAATTAATTAATTATAACTAATGACATGATAAGTAAATATAAAATGGGTTTTCTTGAATAATTCAACACAATAGATTAGGTATAATCTATAAAGAGATGTAACTAACTAACTAACGAACTAACTTACTAAACTAACATTATCATTACTATCAAAGTGGAGATTTGTGGAGATTGTAGGAATTTTAATAGTTGAGTTTATGAGCTATCGTTTAAAGGTTCAAAGTAGTGAACGACCGTTTTGTCCTAGGATAGAAGTTTTCAGAAGTGTGTATTCATCATCCCGCACTAAAGGGACTTGAACCCAGGACCTTCGGTTCACATGTGAATACTTGACGTCTAAGCCATTTAACCTGCTGGCATTCAGCGGCGTGAATGTATTGCTTACTTATTCACTTACTTACACCTGTTAATCCTCGTGGAGGAGTATAGGTCGCTCACCAGCATTCATCATCCAACCCTGTCCTGTGCAATCCTTTCCAGCTCTTTCCAGTTGTTATTCATCCTTTTCATATCTGCTTCTATTCAACAATGTAATGTGTTCTTTGGTCTTCCTATTTTCCGCTTTCGCTCAGGATTCCAAATTAGGGCTTGCCTCGTGATGCAGTTTGGTGATTTTCGTAATGTATGCCTTATCCATTTCCATAGTCTTTTCCTAATTTCCTCTTCATCTGCAAGCTGGTTTGTTCTCTCCCACAGTAGACTGTTGCTGATGGTATCCAGCCGATGGATGCTGAGTATCTTGTATAGACAGCTATTTAGAAATACTTATACCTTCTTAACGATGATTGTAGTAGTTCTCCAAGTTTCAGCTACGCAGAGGAGAACTGTCTTGCCATTCGTATTGAAGATTCTGATTTTGATATTGATTAACAGATAGTGGTTTTGAGTTTCCTTTATTCTTCAATTGTAGGAATGCAGCCCTTGCTTTGCCTATTCTCGCCCGTGAATGTCTAACTTCAATCAATTCATGATCTTATGAAGTCATTCATTTATTGTCTGAAGTGGATAAATGTATCACACTCAATATGAATCGAAATCTATTAGTCACAACTTCTTACTAGGATTCCTGGAAATCCATTATGAAACTTGACGGGTATTTGAATCGACAACTGCATCTCTGTGCTAATGTGGTATGGCAACTCGAACGTATGTACAAAGTTCTACGTTGTTACTAACTGACTAACTGATTATGAAACTTAGATCGACTCATGAACTTAAGGATTAAAATTAATGATCAACTGAATATTTGATTACAATGAATAACATAAGGAAAAGAATAGGATATTTAAAGAAAATGTAAGTTTTCTGAAAATATTTCTGCTAATAGATATTCACTGATGAGCTGAATGTACCTGCATCTGAGCTAATGTTTACTCTGGAACTCGAACCCAGTATCGTTTGCTTTAAACGTCATCACGTTATCTACTTAACTACTGAGTCCTGATAGCCACATGCTTGTGAAATGAGGTGAAGTTTAAATCTTTTCATTAATGTTTAGGACTGCGATTGATCTATCTTTTGTTGGCTTATGTACATCCTGTACGGATTTCCTCGATATTGCTTTAATTCAAAAACATTCTAAGCAATGATAGATAGTGACTAGCAGTGGAATCTAGTTTAACATGTGTTTCGTCCCATTTGATACTCGTCAGCCGCATACCGGAGTGAATATAAACTCTAGGATACAGGTACATCTAATTGACAAGTCTTAAATAGGACAAAACGCTCATCTAACTAGATTGCATTGCTAGTCATTATCTATCTTTACTCATTCATAGTATAAAGAATAATTAAGACTCCATCAAGTTTCTCTTTCTATCTAACAATAACAACAATAACAACAACAAAAGAAACTGTTTGATATAAATTTGACATTATCCATTTAATCATTGTCATATTTGTAAAGAAATGACCTTAATTTGAAGTATCTTTTTGTTTATGAATGTAACCGTAATCTTCGAGAGCAACAACAACAAGAAGAAGAACGAGAAGAAGAAGAAGAACAACAACAACAACAAGAACAGCATCACCAAAGAAGAAGAAGAAGTGAACGATTCAAGCTTATAATAATCCTATCAATTCAATATACAATGACCTCTTTAAATAAAAAGTATTAAATGGATTAGAATGTCAATCTGAACAGATTAAACTTAACAAAAGAATGAATTATGATAATAAATAAATTTATTTAGAATAGGCTGTACTCTTGATAATTGTAATTAAACTTTAACTTAAAATAATGAAAACAATATGGAATGATCAGTAATAAACTATGAGAAATTGTTGAGTATTCATATTTGGGTGTTTCACAGTCTCACATGCGAGCGTTTAACCACTAGACCACTGAGCTGGCATCCAACAGTGTTAATGTTTAACTGAGACTGATAGGTCCTGGGTTCGAATCCCACTAGGCGAAGTTATGAATGCGTACTGCTGAGGAGTCTCACAATAGGATGAAAAGGCTGTTCGGTGCTTCAAGGTTTTCTATGGTTTTTTAACTTCAATTGATTCATAATCTCAACTATTGAAATTACTACAATCTTCTCAAAACCCCTTCTGTTACCAAGTCATCTATGGAAATATACTTAATCACCTTTAAGTTTACTTAAGTCTAGACCTTCATGGACTGTAATTGACTCATCTCAGAGTGAACATCAACTCTGAGATAAAAGTACATTCAACTGAAGAGTTTTAAATAGGACGAAGTGACACACGTCATACTAAATTCCACTGTTGGTCACTATTCATTTTTGCTTATAGTCATATTAGTTTAAAATGTGGATAGATTAAAAAAAGAAAGAAAACCTACTTAATGTCATATTCTCTTTGGTAAATAAACCATTTGGATAGGCGATTGATTGTGCAGCCACTGCATAACCAACCATAATCACAGTTAAAATAATCATAAATGGAATTAAATCATTGGTCACCTTATGGGATAAAATTCAATGAAAGAAACAAACAATAAACTGGTTGTAGGTATCAAAGTATCGAATACATGTACATATATATATATAATGAATCGATCAATGTTGGAAAACCACTGGAAATCTGTAAGTATTGAATGGTCGTTTCATTCTAGTATGGGAATCCTCATCAGAGCGCAACCACGATTTTACATCATAGGGAATCGAACCGAAGATATACGGCCGCACCCACGAATGATTAGTCTCTAGACCACTAAACCGCGATCCAATAGTGTTGTAATGTCTATCTTCAAACAATCCACGATATTGTGTGACCATCTTTAATTATAATGGGTCTGAATCTGTCAATGTCAAGTTATTCTTAGTCATGGTGAATTTGTCGGACCTTTCAATGAATCAATTTCAACATCAGACTATGAGTATCAACAATGTATACATTTGGAATATGAATTCGTAAGGTCGAAATTTGGTTGAGTAGATCGGGTGGAAAATGAATGAGATCAAATGTAGTTGTTTAGATAAACATTCCAGATTAGATAAATATTCAGGCCTCCTTTCCTATTGAAGGCTGAGGGATTCAGAATTATATATGTGTAACTTACATGTCTCTTAGCACTCATCGAGATCACATGAAAAGACTCTCCAATGTAGAATGCATCAAAATCAACACAACTTAATCTGTAGACAAATTCGTTTGCTGAAGTGAACGGGATCTTATCTATCTTACCTTATCATCCAATCTGAACTGTTTACTAAACAACCATATTAGACCTGATTTATTTTGCACATAATCTACCTATATACATACACACACCAGTTTCAACCTCACGGCTTCATGCTACAAATGTATACATTTTTCATAGCCCACTCTCTTACGCATAAATCAATACAGTGATAGGCCATATAGAATAACCTTGGCCAAGAATAACTTGAAGCTGACAGATTCAGATTTATTATGATGGAAGATGGTCACCTAATATGGTGGGTTGGTTGAAGTTAAACATTACAACACCATTGGATCTTGATTTAGTTGTCTAGATGTTAATCATTCGTGGATGAGCGTACATGTCTTCGTTTCGATTCCCTATGATGGGGAATTGTGGATGTGGTCTGATGAAGATTCCCATACATGAATGAAACGATCATTCAATACTGACAGATTTCCAGTGGCTGCCGTACATTGATCGATTGATAATAATAATAAGTTTATTCTTTTGCTAAAATGATTGACTGTACGTTAATTAGAAATTAATATTCTATTACTAGGTTTTTCATTTACGGTTTCTAAGAAATTTCCTCTCAAATCAATGATGCTCAATGGTGATGAGTATTACGATGAAGTTTATTATTATGTGGGAACTTTTCATCTCAAGTAGGACGAAAAGTGAATCTTGGATTCTACTGTTAGTCACTATTCATTTTTGCTTAGAATCCTTGTAACATAAAGCAATTTTGGTGGAGTTTTGTTCTTTGAGTTGGATTATTTGGTCGTGGAGCTTTCATCGTTCTTCCGAACTACATCATCAGCACAAACTTCAGATAGAAGTGCAGTGTTCGAATATCTCCACATATGGCTCATAGCTTATCATCTAGATCTCGATGTTCATTGGTTCTTGTTGACTTTAAACCTGTCATTGTTTACTTCTTTGTTATGGTTGTATCATTCAAACCATCCAGCTCAGTAAACAAAACTTCATAAAACTCATCCATCTGAACTACAAATCTTCACCAACCTAAAGTAATATTGAGGCAGTCAGCACAGGATTGATTGTAGTTCTTAACAACAATGGGAAGATACAAGCAAACAATAACAAGTTAATTTAAAGTTCAACCCACCGCATAAGCAAGTGGCTATCAAGATTCAGTAGCTAAGTGGATGACCCGATGGCGTTTGAAGCGAACGTAGTGAGTTCGAGTTACGGAGTGAACATCAACTCTGAGATACAGGTACATCGAAGTGAAAAGTAATAAATAGGATGATGTGGATTTCACTGATAGTCATCATCCATCTTTGCTTATAATGCTTCGGATTTAAGTCAATACTAAGACAATCCATACAGGATACACATATATCAATAAAAGACTGATTAATTGAAGTCCTTAACAACAGTGTGAAAATACAAGCAAATAATACTAAGTGAATGCATCACTATGAAAGTTTAAGGAAGGGGTTTTGTGGATATTATAGTAACTACAATAGTTGAGATCATGAATCAATTAAAGCTAGATCATCATGGAAAACCTGGAAGATATATTTCCTAGAGTTCTATTGAGAAGCAGTGACCAGATAGTAATTCACTGAAGACAATAGTGAATGGTGGCGCTCAATTTCGTGGATTAGTTGAAGTTACACATTAACGCCGTTGGATAAAGTCTCAGTGGTCTAGAAATTAAGCGTTGGCACGCCAGACCGATAGATCCTGGGTTCGAATCTCACGAGGCAGGATCATGGATGCGCACTGCTCAGGAATTCCATACTAGGACGAAATGACCATCTAGTGCATATAGGTTTTCCATGATGATCTAAATTCAATTGACTCATGAATTCAACTATTGAAATGACTGTATTATTCACAAAACCCCATCCGATGTTAATCAACAAATGCTCACTAGTAACTGGCTTCAAGAAATATATCCTGGAGTTCTACTGAGAATCAATGACCAGTGGTGTTCAACTTGGTCTGTTGTGAGATAATAACTCACTGAAGACAATGGTGGATGGTGGCGCTCAATTTTGTGGATTAGTTGAAGTTACACATTAACACGCAATGATCTAGAGATCAAGCGTTCGCGTGCGATACGCACTGCTGAGGAGTCCCACAGTAGGACGAAACGACCGTCCAGTGTTTCCAAGTTTTTCATCATGACCTAGCTTCAATTGACTCATGGTCTTAACTATTGAAAAAGCCTTTATTGCACCATCATTATATACTTATTAAGATTTAAATAATCTCCAGTTATCCACCAATTACGCATCCACGACCCCCCCGCGAGACTCGAACCCAGGACCTATCAGTTTCGTGCCAGGCACTTAACCAACTAAATCGCTTAACCGTGAATCAACGGTGTTAATGTGTAACTTCAACCAATCCACGAAGTCGCGCCATCGTACATCATTGTCAAAAAAGAGAAAAAAATAAAGGAAAAAAAGAAGAGAAAGAAAAAAAAACACAAAAATCAAAACTTACCATTTTACCAATCATAATTAATTTTGGTCCTAATGCAATATGAAAACTAAATGTATACATTAAACGTATATAGAATGTGAATAAACTAATTGCAAGACATATACGTGATGGATCTAATATTGGATCTGTCACAATATAATAACGTTCATATTGTATATTAAAATTCTCTCCTTCATGACCACGTAATCGTAATAATACAATTAATCTTAATATAAAACCAACAATATATAATGCTAAACCAGCACAATCTAATTTATTCCATCCATCAGATATATAAGTTCTAAAACTAATACCAGATAATACAGCCTAGAAAATTTTGGAGAAAGAAAAAAGAGAAAAAAAGAGGAGAGAAGATTATCAAATCATCTTATTGATTTTCATATACATTACAATAATATTAATAATAATATCTAGGATGTACGTTTCGTCCTATTTGGGACTCGTCAGTTGGATGTACCTGTATCTCAGTTTTAGCCGGACATAAATTGGATTAAAGCATGCTCAATGCACGTTGATTGGCTAATTCTTATCCAATCAGTGCTAGTGGATACCTGGAGAGCAATTTAGGAATTTTCTTATGTAAAAACTATAAATATACACAAACGTTTTTCCAATTACGCTTCTTCTTAGTTCCATCTAACCTTGTTATTTGGAATATGAATCTCTTTTCCTGTTGTGATTTGGGGGACTTGTCTAGTGAATCGGTGTCCAAGAACACTAAGCAATAGGTATAGCTGGGTTGTAATAAGAGAGAATTATAACACTCAAAGATGATTTTTACTTTGAGACATTATACATTAAATAATGGTGTTTTCGAACTTATATATATATATATAATACGATTAGATCTATGATGCTTTTAGTAAGCCGATATTGGATAGGGTAATATCTTAATTTCCATAGTCACTGATCAATTCATTACAAATGTGGATTAATAAAAAGGTTTATTGAATTAGAATCAATCATATTTGTACTAGCGATAATATTGAAATAGAGATGAAGCTCTTGACTGAAGCGTTAATGAATAATGGTTATTCATTGAAGTTCATAAACCTGCTGGAAGCGTTGTTATACTATTAGACCTATGACACTTCTACCATCCAAAAAGTGAGTTTATATTATGTTACCATTTAGAGGCAACTCAAATAGTTTCATGTTGAAATGGAGACTTGAATTAACCATCAACTGGACATTTTATGCAACCCAACTTGTCATCAATGAAAAGACAAGGTCTGTGTTTCACTAAAAATCCAAACAGCACATAAGCAATTGTGTCTATCAATTTACATGTATGTGTGGAAACACGTACATAGGGAGGAGCAATCGTGATTTGCAATTATGGATGGGTGAACGCATACCAAAATGGCTGCAGAAACAAATGAATTCCAATGATCAATTAAAATCACATGATAAATAGAAATCTTGCTCCATTGTGAAACATTTGACTGAGACTAGTCATAAGGTTGATATCAAGTCAGCATTTGTAGTTTTGTACAAAATTCTTCAAAGATGTTTATATCAAGGTTTATTGAAGCCTTGGTTATACAGAAACTGAAACCTGATTTATGTGTTCCAAAAACAAAACAATTTGTTCTTACCCTTAACGTACTCTAGTAGTACTGATTTATTATACAGAATGGTGATCACACTATTTTCGTGTACTTTATTTTTGATTGTTACGACTTACCTTTAGTTGACCTATTAGTTTTCATATCAACATGTCTTAACAAGTATATTAGTAGTGATCAAAATGGTTTCGAAATGTATTACGCAATATATTACATAATTTTGATAAACTTCATCTCTTATTACATTATCGAAATGTTTATGAATAGCCAATTGTTATATCCTAGTGAAGGTTAAGTTACGGGTAACTTCTGAGAACTATTTATGGACTGTTGTTATGTACATATATATCAGTCAGTCAGTCAGTCAGTAACAACGCAGAACTTCGTATATACGTACATCAGTGCAAGTTGCCACACCACATTAGCATAGAGATGCAGTTGTCGATTCAAATCTCGTAGTAGTAGAGGCGGTAAGAGTATAAGCTGTAATCAGAAAGATTAGGGTTTCAAGATGTTATTTAAAGAGTATAATTAAGTGAAATAAATTTGGAAAGAGAGAAAAAAGAGACAAGGGGGATTCAGGAGATTAAAATTTGGGAGAACACAAATAGTGAATGAACTTGCGCCATTGCAAACGATTTTGAGCCATGTGATTCAGGGTCTCTAGCTATCGATTGCTATCGTCTCGCGGTCCTCAACCAGGTGGTCTACACCTACCAACATGGTTCAGTCCACTTGTCAGTGACTTCATGGATTTTTGTCATGTTCTGGTCTGGCCGCCCCAATATATTGTACAGCTATTCAGTAGTTAGATTGTGTATATCTATATTTCTCTTATTATAAGTTTCATTTTGACCTACGATTTACTGTTCTTGAGTTATGTTCAGTTCATTGAGTACTGTCATCCGTGATCACAACCAGTCTTTGGCTAATTCTTTTACAAATGTTATTCCCTACATTATGGTGTGTTGTGGTCTGTTTTTTGGTATATAAATCAAGTATGTTTTTAATAAATGATTCGTATATTGGAAGTTGTTATTGACGTTTTGGATTCAACTATTAGGGCTAGAAAGAAAAAGGACCAATAAAGACAATAGGCTGCTCATATTGGTCGAACATCATTGGTTTGGCACAGTGCTAAGATTCTATTGTGACGTGTGCTACTGATGTCGATAGATAAAGTAGTATGTATCATCAGCACTATAAACGGTGACTGATGATGGCGAGCAATGAAATTCAGTATGAGCATTACTTCGTCCTATTCAGGATTCGTCAGATAGATGGACCTGCGTACTAGAGTTGATGTTCACTCCAGGAATCCAACTCGATACCGCTTGTTTCAAACTCCATCTCGTTATCCACTTGGCTACTGAAATCTGATAGCCATTAGCTTTAGCATTAGGGTTAAGTTTAAAATCATTTTGTATTGCTTGTTTAATCTTCTCAATGATCCTCAGGACTACAAATGATCAGTATCTTGATGGCATATATGCATCTTGAACGGATTGCCTACATATTGTCTTCAATCACATGCATTATAAGCAAAGATGTTTGATTAGAAAATAAAAATGGTGTGTATATGATGCTTCTTTGAGTAATCAAAGGCAATGGTTATGAATGTAATTAAAATTCTGTAATCTAAATGTTTGGACAGCTAGGATGCAGCTGGACGATCCGTACTTAGCAGATGATCTGGCTCTTCTATCGCACACGCAACAACAAATGCAGAATAAGACGACCAGTGTAGCAGCAGCCTCAGAAGCAGTAGGTTTCAACATACATAAAGGGAAAAGCAAGAGTCATAGATACAACAAAACAAGCACCAATCAAATCACATCTAACGGAGAAGCTTTAGAGGATGTAAAAATCTATACATCGATGAACACGGTGGATCTGATACATATGTGGAAACGCGGATTGGCAAAGTAAGAGAAGCATATTTACAGCTGAAGAACATCTGGAACTCAAAACAATTGTCACCGTCATCAAGGTCAGAATTTTCAACACAAATATCAAGACTGTTCTGCTGGATGAGGCAGAAACTTGGAGAACTACGAAAACCATCATCTAGAAGATACAAGTGATTATTAACCGTTGTCTACGCAAAATACTTCAGAATATTAGTTTATCGATATTTAATATGTGAATATATTTATCAAAATTAAACTAATCCACCATATTGAACGACCATCTTCAACTGTCTTCGGTGGGTAACGACCTCACAGCTGACATTGTTGAACTCTACTATTCATGGCTTCTTACGAGGACTCCGAAAATTCCCTTTCAAATGTAGTCATTAATAAGCATATAATTATCTTTATAGAGTTGTAAACATTGTTAAGTTTAAATTAAGATCGTGAACCATTCAATGTAAAGCCACTAATGGATACTGGGTTTATTGGTTCAGAAGTTAAGCTTTCTCATTAGAGACTAAAGGTCCTGAATTTGAGTCCTATATGTATGATCGTCGATGCTCAATGCTGAGGAGTTCCAAATTGCAATAAAATGGCTATCTAGTATCTTTCCATTTTCAATGATGATCCAACATTGATCTATTTCATAATCTTAATTACAAACTCAACAATCTTTCCAAGCCTATCATGACGAAAAATTGTGATTTATTTAAATCCAATCAAAAACAAAAAAAGTGATGATTATTATAACCCCTCCCCCCATCGATTTACGAATCATAAATTCTTCTTTTTTTCTTTACTATTTCTTATACAAATGTAAGATATGATTACGCAACATGTTTTCTTTGAACATTCCCCCCTCCCAAAAAAAGAGAAAAAGAACTATGTTTATCGCAATGATACAGAGAAGAAAAGAAAAAATAGGGGGGGAAAGAGGAAAAAAAGACGATGATAATAAATTTAATAAAAATGTAAATGAACCATAACATAACTTACCCATGCAATCTTGATTGTTTAGATATTGAGTGAAGATAATCACCAAAGTTTTATTGATGGTAACCATAGAGTGTAATGAAGTAAATGAACGGTGGGGGGAGGCAAAGAAAAGAAAAGAATATAAGATGAAAATGAATGTTAAAGAAAATATGTATGAAAATTTTAGTAAATGGATCAAGCTGAAGAGTTTTATACTAGAACGAAACGATTGTCTAATACTACCAGATTTTTAATAGTGGTCTAACATCAGTTAAATCATGATCTCAACTATTGAAATCACTATAATATCCACAAAAACCATTTATGATATTAGTCAATATATCCTCACTAGTGACGATCTCCAAGTGGTGACCAATGGACTTCAACTGGGTCTGTTGTGAGATAATAACTCACTGAAAACAATGGTGTCATTCAATTTGATGTATTAGTTAAAGTTAAACATTAACATCGTTGGATGCTGTCAGTTTCAGTGGTTTAGAGATTAGGCGTTGACTCACAAGACCGATAGATCCAGAGTTCAAATCTCACGATGCGGGATCTTGGATGAGCACTGCTGAAAAGTATAGTGTTTGTAGGTTTTCCATGATGATCTAGCCTCAATTGACCCTTGAATTCAACTATTTAAAGAAAAAGATGATTGCACAATATCGTAGATTGGTTAACGTTAGACATGAACATAGTTGGATACCGATTCATTAATTTTAAAGGTGAGTCATTCACATACGAGATCGAAGAGTTTAGAGTTCAAAGTCTCGCTTATGAAATCATGAATGTGCACTGCTGTGCAGTTTTATATATAACGATAAAACAGTTATCAAATGTTTTCAGGTTTCCATTGATGATCTCATATTGATATCGATTGATAATTTCGATCAAATTTGACGATTTCTACAATCTAATGCTAAAAATAAACTCAACTAAATCAATATAGAAATGTACATACGTATTGTGATTTGTGTTTCTTAATTTCATCATCTATATTTAATATAACTTGAAATGAACCTACTTTGATCAACTATCTGATTTAGATGTTCTAAAGGTAACAGTTATTGATCATTCTCTGTTTTGGTAATATAAATATAGAACTCCACTGGTCACTGATTCTCACTAGAACTCCAGGATATATTTCTTGAAGCCAATCACTAGTGAGTATATGTTGATTAATATCTGAAGGGATTTTGTGTATATTATCGTCATTTCAGTAGTCAAAATGATGAGTCAACTGAATCTAGATCATCATAGAAAACCTAGAAGCACTTGATGACCATTTCATTCTGTTGTGAGACTTCTCAACAGTGCACATCCACGATCCCACAAGTCGCGAGATTCGAAACTCAGAACCTAACAGTCTCGCGCCAGGCACTTAACCAACCAGACCACTGAGGAGTCCCGGACTAGAACAAAACGGCCATCTAGTGCTTCCACGTTTTCCATGGTGGTCTAGCTTCAATTGACTCATGATTTCAATCAGTGAAATTCCTAAAATCTTCACAAAACCCCTTCTGATATATATATATGCAATAGTTTTGTATAGTCTCTTAAATCTATCTACATCCTTAGTAATAGTATTTCCACAATCGTATTCACGACTTGAGTCCCGCATGTATGATCATGGAGTCGCACTATGAAGGAGTTCCACAATACCAGGACAAACTATCCCGTCCAATACCTCTTTGTCTAACTTAGATCAACTCATCAATTTAAAATAAAAAAGGAAATGTAATACATTTGACTACCTGTTTAATTTCTTCTATAAATAATGTAATTACCCAAGCAATAACAACATATTCAACGACTGTTATATTGATTCGAAAATCAACTAATAATAAATAACTGAATAAGATGAGAAATGTGATGTATGAAATCTAAAAAAAGAAAAGAAAAGAAAAAATGGAGCGAAAAAAGGTAAACAAAACAAACAAGACAATATATTCTTTCATCAGTTGAGATCATGAGTCAACTGAAGCTAGATCACCATGCGAAACCTGGAAGCACTGGACGGCCGTTTCGTCCTATTGCAAGACTCCTCGGCAGTGCTCATCCACGACCCTGCCCCGTGAGACTCGAACCCAGGACCTATCGGTCTCACGCCAGGAGCCCAACCAACTAGACCACTGAGGCGGCATCCAATGGTGTTAATGTGTGACTTGTACTAATCCACGAAATTGAGCGACACATCCGCCATTGTCATCAGTGAGTTCCTACTTCACAACTGATCCGGTTGAACTCTACTGGTCACTGCTTCTCACTAGAACTCCAGGATATATGTGGACGGCCGTCCAGTGCTTTCAGGTTTTCTATGGTGGTTTGGCTTCAATTGATTCATGATCTCAACTGTTGAAATTACTACAATCTGCACAAAACCCCTTCTGATAGTATATTTTTTATTGATTATCAATGTAACAATGATCATCTATGTATTAAAACTATGATCAATAGGCAGATTGAGTTAATTTTGAAGGGGTATTCCTAGAGTTCAAGTGAGAATTCATAACCAGTAGGGTATAACTATAGTCAGATATGAGGTGATGATTCATCAAAGGGATTGAAAGATAAGATAAGTGAAATATAATCCAATGTATCCCAGTTCAGATGGCTAATTGTCAAGTGGTTGTTATCATATTTGAGGGTTATGTATCCAATCATTGTCATGGATAGATAAATGTTCAGTACTTTATGATCTTCAATTATTTTTTTGTAATTCAAACCAGTCCGCAATGTACATTATAAAAGAATATTTCAGATATTGTTTTACATTCCATGATTAAATTCACATCTCCCTATCTATCTTATCTGAAGGTTTGATCCACAATTTAGTGGAGCAACGTTAGGAGATGCAGTTCCATTGTAACCGATGATAAACAATTGGTTCATAATTCATCTGGTCCCTCAGAATCCTGGAGCCCATGTCCACCATTAGTTTGGCATCAGGATTTTCCAAATCCCCTAGGTGAACTCGCCATGTCCACAAACCTGATTAAAGCGATGGACATTCGCTTTTCGTCTTCTCAATTTCGTAAACAACGCCCCTGACGGGAGAATGCGATGAGTAGGACTTTTCTGATAGTGACTGTATAAGTGACCTTGAGAGTGTCCACCTAGTAACTAAGACTAAATGAAGGTTATAAACTAGTGTGAGGACTGAGAATTATGGTTTATAGTATGAGCATTACTGAAAACAAAGTTGTTAACTTACAGTATTATACACAAAACGAACAACTGGTGCCATATAAAAGTCACGAATCTGTGAAATATATTCCAAAGTTCTAGCTTGTAATGTTTTTCGAACACTGAAATATAATAAAATCAGGATTGTTACTTTAAAAGAGTCGATTTAGTGTAGTGGAAAGAAAAAAATGATATACTGATCAATGGAAGATGGCCGCCTAATATCGTGAATTCATTGAAGTAAGACATTAACACCATTGGACACTGACTGGCTGATTGGTCTAGAAGTGAAACATCCGTGCACGAGAATGAAGGTCTTCGGTTGGATTCCTTTAAGTGCGGGGTCGTATATGCATATTTCTGAGGATTCCCATAATGGGACAAAATGTTCATCCAATGCTTTCGGGTTCTTAATAGTGGGTAACACTGATCGGTTAATGATCTCAATTATAACTCAACAATTTATACAACCCTATACTGATAATTAATATCAGATTGACAACCATCCACTTCAAGACGATTATGATTGTACATTGCTTAAACTATAATATCATACCTCTAAATTCTATGTCAATTACTCAATATGCTTAGATTAGGCATAAGTGAGTTAAAAGTCAAATAAACAGAAGACTTACCCTTTTTTACCAGCATCTTCTGCAGTTAAAACATATTTTAAAGTATGATTATTTTGTGTAGATCCTTGTTGTTCAGAAGTAGGACTTGATTCCTAACATTATAAAAATAAACAGAAATACTTTCATATATTGTCTACATATGAATAAGTCTCATGGGAACAAAATAAAAAGGAAATTAAATAGAGATATAATGTCAATTTCAACACCTAAAGCGATAACTATTTTTAACAGATTCCTATTGTCCAGTTGTGAACACTTAATACGGTGGTGTGTACTACTAATGTCAACATATATAAGTAGTATGTATCATCAATCGAAAGCGAAATGTCTGCAGGCAGAATGTTGAGAAGATCAAAGAAAAAGGAACGAGAACGGATAATGATTGGTATGAAAAGGGAGAAACCATCAAGTCTGAGATAATTTTCTGTATAGTTCTCAGAATTTACTAAGAGATTCTGTGATTTTGTGTTTAAATACATTTGTGCTCGTTCACTACACTAGTAATATTAATTGCGAAACTCTGAGAAAACCTATTTCGAGTGGCTGAATTGATACGCGGATATGCACTGATGAGGGATCCCTCAAGAGGACCAAATAGCCGCCCATAGCTTCCAGGTTTTCAACGATGGTCTGTTTGTTTGATATATAAACCAGTTATGTTTAAAATATATGATTCGCATAGTGGAAGCTGGTATTGGTGTTCTGGACTCAAGTGGACGGGCTAGGCGGACATAGGACAAATAAAGACTCTAGGCTGATCATACCACTGGAATGTCATTGGTTTGGCACAGTGCTAAGATTGTATAAGTCATATTTTGATTGGTGGATAAATCACGTGATAAAAAGCCGAACATAAAGTCACAATAATGCGTAAATATGGTTTTTAATGAATGTTGAAAAAATTACATTCTATGATCAGAACTACTTCTAAATATTTGATCGTAGCATAAACTTCATCGATTAATTATTCATTATCTGTAGGGTGGTTTGTAGAGAATGTAGTAATTTCATAGTTGAATTCACGAATCGATCTAGGTTAGACCATTATTAAAGACCTGAAAGCACTAGATGGCCGTTTCATCCTGTTATGAAACTCTTTAGCAGTGCAAATTCATGATATCATATGCGGGACTCGAACCGAGGACTTTCAGTCTCGTGCTCGAGCACATAACCTCTAGACCACTGAGCCCAATATTTTCAGGGTTTAAATGGTAGTCTAACATTGATCAGTTCCTGATCCCACTTAAAACTCAACAATCTTCACAACCTTATACAAATAGCTGACTTTTCGTTCAAATTAGACATTCGTACAATACTTTTACACTTAAACATAAACATTCTATAAGTTAAAAGATAGAAAAGACATATCTTACTTCTCCTTCTGTAGTTGGAATTGTTTTAGGCTTAGATAATATAACTTTTGGTATTAAAAATGGTAATGTCAATCCACAAACAACCCCCATAATATACTAAATATTAAGAAAAACAAATAAAAAGAAGCTAATTCAATTAGTGTAAATGAAACTACTGATTATCGTAATTAGTAACATACCTGTTTTTCAACAAAAAAAATTCATAATAATTAGGTTTAAGTTTGACAACAATGTTTTATGAAGACAATAACCTTTACAGTAAAAAACAATCTTATTGTAGTATATACTACTTATGTTGACCATTATTAGTAGCAACTAGCACTAATAGAATGTGGAATGACCGCCAGCATAAGATTGAATCGTTTGAATTGAAAAGAACAGGAAGGGAAACAGAATGTAATTGTTATAACAACACAATTGAAAGAATCGTGAAGCATGTGAAGGATACCTGAAGGAACATATACAAACAATGCAGTCCCATGGTATCCGGTTACCAACAATTGCTTCATAAGTCATTTGTTCCCTCAGGATCCTGGAGCCCAAAACATTAACATGAAAACCATAACAACCAAGAAAACTCTCCTTATGAACGTTCAATTTTGAAAGAATATATTCAAAGGAAACCAGAGGAAAGATAAACTTAGTTAAACCTTTATAGTCAAGGTTTAGGTGAATGTACTTTGAAGACACAACAGACAATGAACTATTTGACCTCCGAAAGATAATCCCAAAAATGGCCATTATATTAGGCTCAGTGAGTGAGCCGTTAAACCTGAATCACAATCTACAAGACTTCATACATTTCCTATGAAAAATTTCTTTATGAACATCCAGCTCAATTGAAATACTGCTGGAGGAATTTTGAGAATCATCTAACGAATTCCTTAAGAAAGGCTTTTTACGATCAAAAGCTTCTCATCGTCGTTTTCAGCCGTCGTATCAATCGTGAATGTGTCTAGTACCAACCCACTCATTGGGCCTCATCATTGTGTCCACTTACTCTTGTGATGCAGGTTACATAGACTGCAAAAGGTGGAAATTCTGCAAACATCTTTGAACATTATCATGAGTGAATTTCGAAGGATAAATGTTCAATGTTAGAACGTTTTGTGAACTCTGATTACACGACTTCATCTGATGAATCTTTTAAAATTATCTACATAGTCAAATGATTTGATTCGTCAGGAACACAAATTAATAATTTACACACTTTAAAAGCAATAACAAACTATCTGTTCAAACTGCGAGGTTTGAAGGCATCACGAGTTCACTTATTCTGCGAACGAGAAACAAGATTCGGTGAACAAAGACCAGTAAGCTAGCTATTTTATGCGTCCCAGCCCCGCTAACTAGAGGGAGAAGTCCAAGCTTGGAATGGGGAAGTATGTTCTGCAAACAGCTTGAAACGAGCGATAACAACGAGCACAATTCAAAACGCATATATACAGTACAAAACGGTCCTTGGGGAGTTTTACCAAAAAGCATATTAAAAGACCCAACGGACCAATAGCATTTAAGATATTTCCCAGTGGGAAATACGAAATGAAGCTGACGCGCTATTGGCGCGAAAACAAAGAAATTCAAATTTTCTAAATAAAATGACAAAATTAGGTCCTTTCCCAAGTGAGTTCTAGGGATCTAACGTCCCCAACACAAACTCTGTGTGCAAAAATTGACACATTCACGTTATCATTCTTCCACTGACTTTAACACTTAATTTTCATAAACTAAAAGAAAAGTCTTTTGGCTAAATCACTTTTCAAAATTAATAGTTGAAATCATGAGTCAATTGAAGTTAGATCACTATTTGAAAACATGAAAGTACTAGATGGCTATTTCGTCCCATTGTAAGACTCCTCAACTTTTCAAATGTTGAAGATCTACAGCTCAGATCGATACTTTTCATAGTGTTTCACTGATTGAACTGAATGGTTTGATAATGAAGCTTTCATTGTTCTTCTGAACAATATCATCAGCATAAACTTCAAATTAGAAGTGAAATACTATCAATCTCAATCTTGACGACCTATAAGTTGATAACTATAAATTTTAATCAATAACATTGATTTTATATTACAAAATCTATAATTACCCTAAATACACTATTCTTAGTTGATAAATTACCACTCCATGTATTTGTAAGAAAATCTTGACAACATGGATGTGCCATAAATTTTATACTTTGACCTTCAGCAGCTAATTTAATTACTGAACTACGACCATAATAAATTAATTCATGATTGATAATTAATTGTGTTCTATGTTCATCTTCACGATAACATTCATTCAAGACACCTTCAGCACGTTCTTGAAAGTTTCTATGAGAAAAGAAAAGAAAAAGGGAGAATGATTATCAAAGTTCAATTTATGAGTCGATCTAAGTTAGACCAAGATTGAAAACTTGGTAGCATTGGACAGCTGTTTCGTCTTAGTATGGGACTTCTCAGTAAAGTACACTATAGGGGTCTGAACCTAGGACCTTCGGTCTTGAGTCCAAATTCTTAATCTCTGGATCAATAATATAATCTTCATAAATCCCCATCATTCACACTATAATGTATAATATACCCTAGTGGGCCAGGGTAATTTTACATTGGTTTTCAGGAGAACCAGACACCATCCTAACTTTTACGTGACAACCCAAACAGTGCAGCTCAACCCCGTTTAGCAGGACAACCAGACGCCGTATAGGCCTTAACACTACAATCTGAATAGTACTGCTCAATCCTGTGGCGCAACCACATAGGTACCAAGAACCCTGGTGGACCAAATAGCATATGTCATTAAGTATTGATTATTGAATATTTGAAGGGATATTTTGTGGATATTTTAGTAATTTTAATAGTTGATATCATGAGTCAATTGAAGTTAGATCATCATGGAAAACCTGGAAACACTTGATTCCTTAGAGTTGCGCATCCAAGATTCCGCTGAGTGAGATTCCAACTCAGAATCTATCGGTCTCGCGTGCCAACGCCTAACCTCTAAACCACTGAAATTGATGGTATCCAACGGTGTTAATATCTAACTTCAACTAATCCACGAAATCGAGCGACACAATCCACCATTGTTTTCAGTGAGTTATTATCTCACAACAGACCCAGTTGAATTCCATCGGTCACTGTTTCTTACTAGAACTCCAGGAAATACCTCTTGAAGCCAGTCATTATTGAGCATACGTTGACTTATATCAGAAGGAACGTTTTGTGGATATTATAGTAATTTCAATAGATGAGATCATGAGTCAATTGAATCTAGATCATCGTGGAAAACCTGGAAGGACTGAATATTTCATTAAGTCAATCTTTTATAATTTTAGTCATCCTGATCAGGATGTTACTGACATAAAGTTTATTTTAGTCAGGTAATTCTTTATTTAAAAAATTATGAATTTTTTCTTAGTAACTTTTGTATATTACTTGATACCATAAACAGTTAGACATTAAAACATCGTTGGATCTTAGTTTAATGAATTAGAGAATAGATATTTGTTGTTGAGACCTAATATCTTCCATTCGATTCCCTATGATGGTTGCGCTCTGATGAATAGACCCATACTAGAATGTAACAATCATTCAATGATGGTTACCTACCTATTCTTGTCATTATCTTCATATTTCAACAAGTTATCTGTTTTTGTTTGTTTCAACACATCATTAGATCTATTAATCATATATCCTATTCAAGCTCGTTTATCAAAACCTTATGACCTTTCTCAGTACAACTTACAATAAAGTACAGTTATCATCATAGATATTGTGCCGGGGGGGGCAGTCAATATGCATTGTAAACAAGGTACACTATTCAGATATGAATTCATGAACTGTTAACATGGAACTTATAGTCAATCAGTATTTATCATCAGGATACATCAAGAATTAAGTAAAGGGAACTTGTTGAAATAATTTATTCAGTGTATTCTATGTTGTACCAAAAACTATAATGCTAAATTAAGCTATTAACAATCATTATTATCAAATTGGAATGGATATATGACAATAGAATACTGTAAAAATACAAATTGTAAGATTCAGTACAACGTAACTATTTGAACTAACATAAACTTGTAGTGGTTTTCCTTCGATAATCGATCACCTTCGCAACCGTTATAAATATAAATCTCAACGGTGTTTTGAAATCAGAAGGTAAGGAGAAGCAACTACAGTTGATTAGCGGATAGCGCAAATCACAAAGCTATAAGCACATCGAGTGAATTTGGAGCGGAGAGGCGAATAAGCAAATCCATAAGCAAAGCAAAGGCTAATGAAAGGATTTGATAACATACATACATGGGGGGGTGGATGAATAGTTGAGTGATATTTAAGCAACCAACATTTTAGCTAGAGTCTGTCATATGCTCTAGTTGATCATAACGGTGCAAAGAAATATGCGAATTGTTACTATTCAAATAACACTGTCTATTAAGTAAGTTAATAAAAGGGCTTAACGAAAATGTAACCGTCATCGAAATCAGTTGTAGGATAGTTGCTATAATCGGCGAGATTATAATTCATGGACGAACTAATCAGATATCAGATAATAGGTCTCGGATTTTGGCGCGAAATTTGCTCATCCATTTGGTTAAATAGAGTTTTGGCATTATAGTTTATGTTAGTCCGTAATGAAAACCCTTGAATCGAATTCCTAACCACTAACCATCAACTGTAAATCATAATTCTAATTCATCACACTGGCTAATAACCTTCAATTGATCCTAGATATTAAGTGTACACTCTCAAGGTCAGTTTGGCGTCACTCAAAAGTCGTCCATAACTTCTAGTCTCACCAAATAATCTATTTTATAATACAAGACAATATACTTACTTTGCAAAGCTTCTATAGTCTTCTTTATCAGTAAAATCATCTGTTTTATTCCCTAAAGATGTCAATAGAATTGAAGCTAATAGAGCAGCTGCGATAGGTTCCTGGAAAATAAATACAGATAATAAATTATATTAACAGTATAAGGTTGTGGAGATTGTTAAATCTCATTGAAATCAAAGAATTGATTACCGTTAGAAACCTCATAGTACTTGTATAGGATTCCTTATAAGTTTGTATCCAGGACCCTGCAAGCTGGAATCGAACTCAGGAACTTCGGTCTCGCCCTCGAACATTTGAACTCTAAACCACTGAATCGGCATCCAACCCCAATAATTTGAAGCATACAACGAATATTCATTTATCTCCACAACGAAAAACATGCATTATTCAAGAGAATTTATAAACAAAGAAGCGCTGAGGGATCTATCAAATTCTATCTTGTGTCCGGTGCTTAACCTTCAAACCATTGAAACACTATTCATCTAAACCATTCAAAAATTGATTATTCTGCTAATTGAATCATCAATTCGATAGTTCTAATAAACCCAGACTGTATTTACACGACAATTTGAAGTGAAATGCAAAATCAAGGATTTGTTTGTCTCTCAAGATAAATTAAAACGATTCATGAGAATGTACTAGTGTTTATATGATTTATTTACAATTTGATTAAGAGTCACATTTGTATAAGATAAACTGAGTCGTATTTTTACAGATGAATTCATTAGTTGTTCTAGGCTAGACTTTCATTGAAAACCTGCAAGCCATTGACGAACGTTTCGTCGTAGTATGGGATTCTTCAGAAGTGCGCGTTCACGATCCTACACGAGGGAATCCAGCTGTAGAAATACTACAATCTTCACAAATTCCTCCACTGAGTCGTATTTATTAAAAGGCAATTCAATAACCTACCATCTGAACATATATTCACCATGTTATACAATTAATCATCTATAATATGAATATATGTCGCCTAGGACCGTAATAATTCACTTGCACCCCAATCAATTAAGCTATTACTGGCCTTGATAAACGTTCTAGACAATTCTCAAAGATTTTTACTAAAGTTATTAAAACAGTAATCAAAAACTTATGTGACAAGCGAACAACACAGATGTTTCCATGTTGGGCTTTACATCATGGTCAAAGGTCAATTCAAGAAAATTGCAATGAGTAAGGAGGTGTACTGGGTTACTCCCTACTTTTGTGTCCCATAGTCGGTTTGCTTTTAACTAATTACAAGTAGGAAAGAACAGACAGCTTTCACGTTTGATAAATGCATCTCACAGGTTCAAGTAAGGCTGATGAAAAGTTTTAAAGATGCGTTTAGTAAGATGAGCCATTCACTTTAAGCTTTAACAAGCGTCTGCCTCAGTACAATGGACGATGGTCGCTCAATTTCGTGGATTGGTTGAGGTTAGACATTAACACCGTTGGACGCCGGCTCAGTAGTCCAGTAGGTTAAGCGTTAGCGCACGAAACTGAAGACCCTGTGTTGGAATCTCGGGAGCGGGATCACGGATGAGCACTGCTGAGGAGCGCACAATAGGACGAAACGGCCATCCAGTGCTTCCAGGTTTTCAAAGGTGGTTTAACATCAATCGGTTCATGATCTCAATAAAAAATTAACAATCTCCACAATCCCCAAACTAATGTTCCCCATAAATATTGGGAAACACTCAAAGTAATTTAGAACATGTCTTTGATGTAAACTGTCTTTAATGACATTTCCGTAGGTATATGTGTTAAAAATGATACTGGAAATCATCTGGTGAAGTCAGTTTATCTATTCTGCAAGTGGTCTCCGTGTTTCAAGGCTCACGAACACACCACGTATATATGACTTCGTGGATAAATTGGAGCCCCTGTGTTTTGACGTGCGGGTTCATCATGAGGAGTAAGTATATGACACGTGCATATTGATAACATATAAATTCACAGTAATGAATCCTATAAAATACATATAGATATATTCACCCACTTGGGAATGTAGATAATCACCATTTCCTTACACGTATTTACTACAACTGACTATCTCTTATGTATTACATCCATATCACTGGTACAATGACTTTCGCCCATGCACTTCATAACATATGCATAAGTATAAACACTGTTGGGAAAGGTTGATGGTCACCACTCTATATCTTTTTATTTTGTTTTCAACCTGTTGGACTAGATCACTGATTTGGTTAGACATAAGACAGAGTCTGGTGCATACACTAAATATACAATTACACAGTCCGAGACTCATATTTAAGTATACACATTGAGCAGTCCACAAGAATTGTGACCTATGAATTTGGAAACCCTAAGTAATCCAGTTTATAACAGAACAGAAGATTAGTTCGATCTCCACCAACCATCCAGGTTAGCTACTAAGATTCCCTTTAGTACTTGGTACCGACTTGTATACTAGATTAAATATGATCTAATTAAACAATAATAATAAAGTAAATAAGATTCTTATTACTTTTTCCATCGTCCAAAATAATTCAGCCATACGTAGTTTACCAACTAATATAGACCAAATTAATAGTTCTCTAGCTGGACGATCCAATTGAATTGATTTTGTTTGTTCTTCATCTAATTAAATCGTTTGTGTTCGTGTGTGTGTGTGTATGTGTGTAGTTCAGATAATAACACAAAGTCAATAACCAATAATATTGTATTCAATAGATTGAATTTGGGAAAGCCAAAAATAGAGACGTCAGATTTCCAGTTCCATGAAGAAACGAACAGATAGGAAGCAATGAAACCAAAATTTAAAAAAAAAACACAAAAAAGAGGGCAAAAATAGGCGGTATTAAGTTAAAGAATCGTACTAATTCTAAATATAATCGTCAGTAGTTTTGTTAATTCAACATGTTACTAAGCCAATATATATGTATATACACAATTTTACACGGAACAATTACAATTAGGTTCTCGTCAAAAATAAAAACTAACTATTTGGTTAATCATTATAAGAGTTTACGTAAGAATTAGGTTTGATACAATTTAATGATTAATACACACACACATACATACATACACGTACACATACACATACATGTAAAAAAGGGGAGGAACAAACATGTCACTAAGATGATAAAAGAAGAGGAGCGTAGGAGGAGGAAGGCAGGGAGGGAGAGAGGGGAGAGGGAAGATAATAAACTATCCATTCAAGAAATATTCATGATTAATGATCGTGCGAAATTCTATAATCGTTATATATATATCATAACAACGAAGACTAATGTTTACCATTTTCTTTTCTTTTTAATTGCCGTGCATAAGATAATTAATGAGTCTCGATAATAATATAAATTGAATAACTGAATAATACTGAGCTTAAAGTTATGGATTCAGTGAAAACAAAAAAAAATATTATTGATTAAAATTATGAATTGATCAATGTTAGAATAGAATTGACAATCTGGAAGTACTGGATAACTGTCTCGTTTTTTAGTATGAGACTCGTCAATAGTGCACATTTATGATTCTATACCAAAGGAATTCGAGCATAGGACTTTCAGTCCCTCGTGTGTATGCTTGATCACTAAGTTGGCATCTAATTGTGTTAATATTTAACTTCAATCGATCCATAATATTATACAATCCTTCATCTATTGTTTGACGTAGATAATTGTCTCATACCCGAAACAGGTTGAACTATATTGCTCACGGCTTCTCACTATAACCCTGATAATTACTTCTTAGAGTAAGTCACTAGTGAACATATGATAATTATCAGTATGAGAGGAGACACATACTAGGAAGAAACGTCTGTCCAATGATTCCAATTTTTCACTAGTGACCTAACATTGATCGTTTCATGATCTCAGTCAAAAACTCAGCAAGCCTTACAACCTCATACTCATGATAATTATAATCATTATGAACATAATACTGAGTTATGTAAAAGACACATTTAAAAAAGAAATCACAATCCTTGTAACAGTCACATTGATCCGTAATTGAATAGTGTTGAAATAACTTTAACTATATAAATGATTCAACAGTGTTATGTACAGTTATCTTCATGTTATAGGATTTAATACATAAATGCTAAGTGATATGGACACAATGAAGAAATCATAATGTACAACTTAAATTCAGTGTATTATGAAATATTTAGTGAGATTTATCTTATGATCTGAATCAATATACTTAGAAATCATTAGGTGTTATAATTTTATGATTTTACTTATAAGCCACTGCCAGGGAACAACTAATCACTGCATTCTGGTGGCGAGGGTGTTGTTTAATTATTTGAGAAGACAAAAAGCGAATGTTCAGCACTTTATCCAGGTTAGTAGACACGGAGGGTCCATCTAAGGAAGTTGGAAAACCCTGATTCCAAATCAATGGTGTACATAGAATCCAGGATACTGAAGGAACAAATGGCATATGAACCAATCATTCGTTACAAACTACCTTAGGATTATATCTTCTAACATTGTTCCAATGACTTGTGGATTAGACCTTTAGGTCGAAGGCTCTGAGTGTTGCCCCTCAATAAAACCATCTGTTGCGGTTTCAGCACCCGAGCAGTATGACAGCCCTCACACAAGTTGAATGATTTATGTGGCGTATATCCATTTAGTGCCTCCTTGTACCAATATTTATGTGTTTAAATAATAATAATAATAATAATAATAATAATAATAATAATAATAATAATAATAATAATAATAACCATCTAGCTGAATTCTTATATGTATACAATGGAATACAATATGTCATTAACGCTATAATACCATTGGATATTAGTCAAAAATTGTTTATGTATTACAATACAACTCTTGTAGGCTGTCGTAATCAATATATTAACCCAACACTTACAACTAGATAATTATCGTGGATGCGCACTGCTGAGGAGTTCCACAATAGAATGAAATGGCCGTCCAGTGCTTCCAGGTTTTCAATGGTGATCTAACGTCAATCGGTTCATGATCTCAATCGAAAAAAACATAACAATCTCCACGACCCCTAAACTGAAAATCCTAATCATTTGATCTCCCAACAAATCAAGATATATCACGGTATCATCTAGAGACAAGAGGACATGGAATGTCCTTATAAATCGTCATGGCTATTTTACCAAACTCTCCTCAATAAAACATCTATTCATGAATAAACTCTATGAACTGTTTTTTTCTCGAATCTATATACAAACAATATCTTTACAGATTATAAAGATTTGGAACTTCCATTTTGTACATGTATTGCATTCAAATATTGTAATAGTTAAGTTCATGGGTCGACTAAAGCTAGATCATCATAAAAATCTTCAAAGCACTGGATGATCTTTTCGTCCTAGTATAGGACTCCTCATCAGTGCGAGATCATGGATGTGCTCTGTTTTTATTCATTGTAACAATATTCATTTACTGTATATATATAAGAACAGTAATATAGTGAATCAAATTATGTCATTTATTTTATGTAGCGGAAACTTGAATAACTACTAAGGTCATCATTCAGAAGATACAGATGTTTATTAACAGTTGCCTACGCAAAATACTTCGGATTCATTGGCCAAATACTATCAACCTACTATGTGAGAGAACAAACCACATCACAGCGGAAGAACAAATCAAGAAGAAGCATTTATGAATGGATAGGACATACATTGAGTATAAAGTACTCAACTATGTCATGAGATAAACTCTCATCATTTGAAATCCTCAAAATCAAAAGAAGGAGAATATAACCAATGAAGTACACATTATACCGAGAAATAAAAAAAACAAATAGGAAAAGAATGAACAACAATTGAATATTTTTTTACGAAGATCATGAACCGATTGATGTTAGACTACCATTGAAAACCTGAAAGCACTGGACGGCCGTTTCGTCCTATTGTGGGACTCCTCCGTGGCAGTGCGCATCCACGATTCCACTCGCGGGATTCCAAACCAGGGCCTTCGATCTCGCGCGTGAACACTTAACCTACTGGACCACTGAGCCGACTGGCATCCAATGGTGATATTGTCTAACATCAACCAATCCAAGAAATTGCGCGACCTATTCTAGTAAACAATTGAATAGAACAAGAAATTATTATCACAAACACAATGGGTTCAATTTAATCTAACAATCATCAATCTTTCTTTTAATAATATTTTTTCTTTTTCTCTCTCTCTCATCTTTTTTCTATTTTCATGCAATCATTGTAAATACATTGATCATTGAATAATTTAATCTATTTTTAATGGAATACATTTCATGTAGCCATGGTTACAATGAAGACTGAATTTGAAAAAAAGAACACAATTAAATAGACAGGGGGGGACAATTTATTAAATGTAATTAATTAATTAATTAATTGAATAATTGGTAAGACAAGACACTCTCACAAATACGTTTAAATTTATAGGGGAATATATATATCTATACAGTAAATATAAGACAAACACATACACACACACCTAGGGAGATGACTTTAAGAATAAATGATGAACATGCACAACTGGTTTTTTTCTTTTTTCTCCTTTTTCTTTTTTTCTTTTGTTTTTCTCTATTTTTTTAAAAATTTAATTCATTAATTAACTTTTAATTTGTTTTTTCTTCGTTTTTTTCTCTTTTTTTCTTCAAAAAATATTTTTTTAAATGACTAATTTGTTAGTTGAATGATAAAAAAACATAAATGAGGAAAGATTAAATTCATGAAGAAAGAAAGAAAGAGAGAAAAGAAAGAAAAACAAAAAGAAAAATAACACTTACAATCTTCTGTAACCATGTCAGGATGATCTAGATGCATCATTTTAACTGTAAGAATACATATTTGTATATATATATATGATTATGTAATCACTTCTAGGGTAATATGAATTACATTTATAATTTGTATAAATATGTCATACATAGGAGGTAAAACCCAGATCACACGTCCTTATTATACCTCATAGATAATGAGACTTGTACCATAAGCTAAGATGAGCGGTAAACTGAGTGGTAGAGATTGGACTAATCAACCATTTGACCGATACCCATAAACGATACAAAAATTGTCGTAAATACAGGCGAGCCAATCAGAGGCGTTTTAGAGATTTCAAGGTTAGGGCACCAACTTTAGTGCTTAATGTTAATGTACGATCGGTTCACAGGGAATTTTGAACAAAACTTGATAGTCGAGCAGCTATAACAAATAAAATAGCGGGACTATAATTTGTTGATGAATCAATCAGGTATAAGATAATAGATCTCGGATTTTAACGCGAATGCCTTTCATCCATTTGGCTAAATAAATTTCTGGCATTATAGCTGATGTCAGTTCGTGATGAAAACCCCATATATAATTCCTAACTAAAGCAAATTACGAAAGTTATTGCTAACTGGATAATAAAAGCACCATTAACAGTGGTTGCAACCAGGTACTACAATATACAAGGATGATTGGAGAGCGTACAGACTCATACATAGGCTTGGTTATATGCATCGTGTCGTTATCCACAATTAGCATTTTGTGTACTCAACAACCGGAGTGCACATAAACAATATTGAAACTATGTGGTCGAGGCTGAAAGAGTATTTGAGACATTATCATGACTCCAGAGGCCGACTATTCTGTAGGCGTATGGATAATTTCCTCTACTGCATGCATTACGATTTTAGAATCTCTGAACCTCTTTCTAACTTTGACAAGTTTTCGAACTACGTCTAAGAAGTGTATCCACTTTATTTCTTTGGTTTTGTCTAACATCTTTTTACTCTGTACTGACTGTTTGCTGATTGGCTAATATTTCTCATGGTCACTTAAGATTCGTTCAAAGGTCGTCCATAAGTAGTTAGGGTCTCGCCTAAATACGTTATGAAGGATCTTGTATCGTAATATTATTTACATCTATCACTATTGAAGAATACAAGCGTTAACATATATTTACATTAAAAAACAAGATAGTGATTAGCAGTGGAATCCTGCATTAAAGAAGGATCTGATACATATGACATTGATCACCCACTTAGTGATCAACCAATTTGAAATAATACTAAACAAACACAAACCAAACATTTATAATCAATATAGAATTGTATAGATTGTTAAATCGTAATTGAGATCATGAACTGACCAATGTTCATTAACCATTATTGAATACTTGGAAATACTGGATGGTTACTTCGTTCTAGTATGGAATTTCTTAGCAATGAGCATGCACGCATCCTGTATCAAACCCAAGACCTTTGATCCTTCATATGAATGTTTAACCTCTAGATCATTAAGTTGACATCAATTAACCCATAATACTACATGATCAATATTCTATTGTCTTCAGTGTTTAACTGACTTACATCTGACACAATTGAACTTCACTAGTTTTCAGTGATAGCCTAACATTGTTTAGTTCTTGATCACAATTTAGAAAGTTTCACAAATGTAACGTTTAAGATGGTAATGATAACTTATTACATCATATTGTCAAATATTACTCTACATGTTATATAATAGATACATAAAATAGAGTAAAATCGGGAGAAAGAGGGAGAGGGGGTAGAGAGGGGGTAATTACACAATGTTTCTTAATCACAATATAAAAACAAAAAAATAAACACACATTAAAAGCTAACATTCACATACATAGAAATACAAGACAAGTTAGATGCAATTCAATAGATTAATCTATTTAATAAAACAATGAAACTTCTATAATGATCCTTAATCTTAGATACAATGAAGTACAATGAAGTAGTTAGTAATATTAGTAATATAAATATACATATTTACCAAAACAATGAATTCATTTCAATTCGAGCAAAATTACAAATCTACCCCCCCTTTACTCCCCCCGCCTCCTCTCTCTCTCTATTACCCTAGTTACTTGTTATTTATGCAGTTAATAATTACATAACAATTATTTGTTATTTATACAATATAATAATGAAATAGTTCTACTATAATGCATGACAACATTCACTACTACCTGGTTCAAAGAAATTTGATGGAATTAATAAATCTGAAAATAGATTGCAGATATTAAATTATCGAATAACAATAATAATAATAATAAAGATCAATAATAATAATAATCATAGAAACATTACAAAAATCGATTATTGACATGTAGAAGGGGAGTCGATGCTCCTTCATGAGGAGTAACAGGCGTAAGTAAGTGAGTAGTCTGTTCACTTTTAATATCAGCTCGAGACAAACATTTTGTGACGACGGACCACAAGTGAACTCAAGGAAGCTGTAAGAGTCTCAAAAGGAGCCGAAGCTGTTCCATCCAATCACCTTTCAGAAGAATATTCTAGAATTGCTACGTGTAGCGTCCCTATTGGATAATGCTAATAGCCACCTGTATGCGGATTGGAGGAATGTAATGATGATTTCGTTCTTACTAAAAACTATAAATACCTGACAATTTTGTACTATGATTGACAATGTTTGGAATAATATTCCTTTCATTAGTCTTCTGTCTTCTTATTGCGACTTGGAAGGGTTTTGGTGATCTAGTGTTCTGTTATACGCGGTATATCAAGAAATCAACATTCAAGGATTTCAATACAACTCAGATCAAGAACACATGATTAGCTTGACTAGAACGTAGATATATATCCACATTCAAAAACCAATAACAATCTGATACAATACAACACATGTAGAAGAGGAGTTGATGCTCCTCCATGAGTGATAACAGCCATAAGTATTGTTTTTTAATACCAGCTTCAGACAAACATTTGCTGAGAGCATTAATGTTATAACACTTGATTTTCTCCGTCTACATGAATGGGATATTCATTTGACATAGATGAATATCTATACTAGATACCCTTCCAGTGTCTATTCTATAGGACTTCAGTACAATTCAGATCAAGAACATGTGATTAATCTAACTAGAACGTAAATATAATTCCACATCCAAAAACCCGACACAATCCAACAACAATGAACAATCAATAATAATAATTATAAGGATAGGGGAATGTATAACTCATCTAATACCTATCAGACTATCTATAAGTTTGATTAAACAAACAACCCAATCATTATCATCCTCTCTCACATATCAATGGAATTCATTTATCTAATACTGTTAGGTAAATACACACTGAAAGGATTATATTTATTAACAAAGATCACTTCAATTTGAGCCAAGATATTATATTGTATTCAACTTTCTTTAATCACAATTGATAACATGTCATTCTAATTCCTTGAATTAAATAGAAATAACAATCGTAGAACAAAAAAAGATGGATTCATGAATTAAGTGATCTCGTTTATGACTTAGAATCAACTTCAATAACCACCTGGAACTCCTCTGGGACTACTGCTGATCACAAGTCCGGATAAATGAGGTGAGTTGGGCATAAAGTTAGCTACCCCACTCTGTAGAAAACTAACCCGTTTTATAAAAAAAACGCTAACCAGAATAATAAACTCATCCGAACATATCAGAAAAAACTTTGATTACATTCGATTTACACATTGATGTACAATCATAAACGACGATAAATAGGAAGGTGTATGTCAATGAGCAATTATGAATGTAAAAAAAAACAACTTGATAAGATATGATGACAGATATGTATCGTCATCTATTGTTAAACACATAATGAAATCAGATTATAAGTTTGATCTTAACTACGGGGCTTTTGTCGTTGAGCACATAAGCTTTAGGTTATGATTAAATTCAAAATCATTTAGTGTATTCAAATAAAGAATTTATTGACATTGTAAACTTAATCTGGTAACTGCTAGGGTTGAAGCTATCACGAGTGCACTTAAGCTGCGAACGAGAAACAAGATTCGGTGAACAAAGACCAGTAAGCTAGCTATTGATGTGTCCCAGCCCAGCTAACTAGAGGGAGAAGTCCAAGCTTGGAATGGGGAAGTATGTTCCGCAAACAGCCAGAAACGAGCGATAACAACAAACACAATTCAAAACGTATATATACAGTACAAAACGGTCCTTGGGGAGTTTTACCAAACAGCATATTAAAAGACCCAACGGACCAATAGCATTTAAGATATTTCCCAGTGAGAAGGTGACAAGAGCGCTTTTGGTGCGAAAACAATGAAATTCAAATTTTCTAAATAAAATTACAAAATTAGGTCCTTTCCCAAGTGAGTTCTGGGGATCTAAGGTCCCTAACAGTAACGTATTTCTATTAACCGGTAGGCTTGCTTGAATATCTGAGCTACTTGTTCCTATCATCTAGATATTTCAACAAGTGATCTGTTTGTGTTTGTTTGTTTGAACACATCATTATGTCTAGCAATTACATAACCTATTCACGAACGTTTATGAGAAAAATTTACGACTTTTCTCTTTATAACTTACAATAAAGTACGATCATCATCAGAAACATCGTGGTGGTTGGTAGTCAGTATGCATTGAAAACAACGAACATCATTCAGATGTCGATTCCTGAACTACTGACATATAACTTAGAATCATTTAATATTTATCATCAAGATCGATCAAAATATAAGAAACAGAAACTTGATTGACATCATTAATCGATTAATGTTAGACCACGATTGAATACTTGCAAGCACTGAACGGCAGTTTCGTCCTATTATGAGACTCTTCAGCAGTATGCATTTATGATACCACTCGTGAGATTCGATCGTCGATCCATACACAATGGTGATTTACAAGTATATATATGTAAAGAAAAAACCCTAATCTGCTTGATATTCGTTCATATTAATAAACTATCTTTGTATAAATGGAACTTCTAGGAAAATGATTAGTTCTTATGAACTAAACTAACAACACATTAAATAATATTGTTCATTATGAAAGTATTTGATAAATTCGTTTAATGGATCCATTAATGTAAAATTATTTACAAGAGTACATGAGGAGACTGGGTGGTCCAGATGACCGAGCGGTCCAAAGCGCTGCGTTCAAGTCGCAGTCCACTCTGTGAGCGTCAATTTGAATCCCACTCCTGACACTACATATATGAGCAGACTAATAATTTATGGACGATCTTTAAGCAATGCTATAGTGATCTTGAGAATGTACACCTTCTTACTAGAGCTAAATGAGGGTTGTAAACCTGTGTAAAAAGTAAGGATAGTCATTTACATTTGATGGTTAGATTTAAGAACTTGATTTAGAGTTTTCATCATCAACTGACACCAGCTAAAATATTAAAACTCTATTTAACCAAATAGATGAATGAATTTTGCGCCAAAATCTAAGATCTATTATCTTAAATCTGATTGGTCTATTCATAAATAATGATCTTACCGCGTAAATTAAGTAATCGAATGTATCTAATTTCAATGATAAAATGAATGCTTTATGTAATTATATTTTCATGCATAAGGATAAGCACAATTATAGACATACATTGAATCATCTATCTACTTAATGTAATAACATCAAGATCAAATAGAAGTGAAATAGAAGTTTGTAATCAACATAGTAAAATGAACAACGTCTACAGGGAACAAATACCTAGATAGGAGTAAATCAATCATACATTTGACATTTGTAAAACATATTGATCACCACCCAATGATCAATCAATTGTGATTACATATCAGTCCCACAGGAGGTTGGTAGTGTCATGGATAGTTCAGTGGTAAAGTCTCTGAGGGTAAAGTTAAGTGAAATGGGATCGAATCCTTCAGGGAGTATTAGTTCCCTTAAGATTACAGGTACACCTTGCTGACGAGTGCCAAAGAGCATGAAATCCGAATCCAGAGTTTTCTGTTAACTACCTCCAATCACCATCCTATCAAATTATATTAGTACCCTTTCTAGATATATCACTTTTAAAGGTAGTAAGATTTGAAAGTTATAATCAAGTAATGATCGTTTAATATTACTCAATAAGCCTATAATCATTTGATCGAGTACTTTTTTTCATTGGATACAGTAATAACTAGATACACTTAATGTTACAAATTGTCTTATTCACTGAACACATACAATACATATAAGCGTAGGTGAGGGTGAAATAGCATATATATATATATATATATATATATATATATATATATGGCTGGATAACATCAACAACAGCCTACTGTGAGAGAGAACAATCCAACTTCCAGTTGAGGAGGAAATTAAGAATGTACTCTAGAGTTGGATTGAATATACATTATAGATATCTAGGAATTGTACCATATGCTGAGCCCTAAACTAGAATCCTGAAGATAAAGAAGTAAGAAAAAGGGGAAGATCAAATAACATATTATGCTGGGAATTGGAATCAAATATAAAAAAAGGGCGAATAACAACAGGGAACAATTGGAAAGGATTGTTCATAGATGTATGTAACAAACCAATGTTCATAGATAGAGTTTGATAAAGAATGCTGGTAGGTAGGTGGCTTACGCACTTCAATAAGGGTTAACAAAAATAAGCATGTAGGCAACACATAGATAACTATACTGTTAATCAAAACGTCTACTCAATATAACCAATAATAATTAAAGAAATGAAAAGTCATGAACAGTTGAAAGGTTAAACTTATCTATGTTACAGTTAACTCCTTATCAAGATATGTGCTTGGATGAAATGTCTTATGCAATATGAATTGATTGAATTAACAACACTGAAAACATAATGGATCTTGAATAACATTATATCATATACCATAAATCCAATTGATTAATTCACTTTATTAAAACAGATTTAGATGTATTACAAATAGAAAAATCAATTAACATAATTCAGGATGCGCGGCATTTCGTCCTATTCGAACTCATCAGTTGGGCGTATCTGCATCTCAGATTTAATGTTCACTCGTGGACTCAAGCCCAGCACCGTTCGCTTCGAACGTGGTTGTGTTATCCGTTTAGATACTGAATCCTAATATACGCTAACTTGTGCAATAGGGTGTACATATGCCAATAATAGATGGATCAATAGCATTCCTAAACATCAATGTGAAGATTTAAACAATCAATACAAAATGAATTAACATAATAGTTACTTACCTCCTGGAGAAGTTTTCGTTGGATCTGCTACAGCTGTTGCTGCTGTCGCTGCAGCTAATGCTGCCATTGCACGAAGAGTGGCAAATTCTTTAGGCCCTTTAATACCAGCCGGTTCTTGACTAACATTTAAGCCTTTGTTTGATTTCTTTGAATCAGTATTACATCTGAATAATCGACTACAGAATGATGAAATTTTTTGTATACATGACATGAAACATGATCTAGATGGTTTATTATTTGCTTCATCTTCAAAAAGTACCGGTTTAGTTGATTTTTCATTTTGAATTGGAGAAATCAATACAGAATTACGTTGTACATGTTCATTGTCAAATGAAAATTGTAATGTATCATTTATAGCTGGTTTTGGTGATTGAATCGGAGTTGTTGTTCCCATAGAAGTGGTATCATAAGCTAATGGCGCTCTTCCAGCTATACGGAAATGTCCTGGACCAAGACTTGTATATGGACCACGTGAACCATGGCCTGATCGACTAACATTAGTAACTGTTGCATTATATATAAGTGGTTGACCTGGTATCAACATATCATGTTCATTGGTTTGAGATGATGAACGTCGACCATGTTTATTTCGACTACCTTTTTAAACAAAATGGTTACATATATTTTTATACCACAGTTAGTTAAAGAGAAGTAGTATGTATAAACATGGATAGAGGAGCACTGTAAAGTTTACCACTGGTAAAAAATATAGATAACTTAAAATAAATAATGAAATGCAGACGATTGACCATTAATTAAATTGTTATCCATAAAAATAGTGTATAATCTCACTTCTGAAGAAGTGAGATATTATAAGCACATTACTTTTTGATTTAGATCATGAATAGATTGATGTTAGACCACCATTGAAAGCATGGAAGCACTGGAAAACGGTTTTGTCTTCTTCAGTAGTGCTCATTCAGAATCCCGCTAGCGGGTCTCGAACCTAGGACTTATCGGTCTCGTGCGCGAACGCTTAACTTCTAGACCGTTAAGCTGGCATCCAATGGTGTTAATGTCTGACTTCAACTAATCCACGAAAATGCGCTACCATCTTCCATTGCACTGAGGTAGATACCTGTCTCTACTCAACACGGATTAGACCCACTGGTCAAGGCATCTCACTAGAACTCCGGGAATTCTGTCACGAAGATAATCACCAGCGAGCACATGGTTAAATTTATTAAGGAGATAAGTCAGTTTAAATCTTAAGATTCATTTTTCTTTGATGAAATATGGTGTTTACAATTACTGTAACTCTTTCAACGTCTGACTTCGATTACCAACATAATTTGTTCTCGGATCTTCCTCTTTTCCTTTTGTCTTTAGAAGTTCAAGTGAAGGCTTGGATAGTGAGGCATTTTTATGATTTTTTAAATATACGTTCTACCACCCTCGAACATCTCTTCTTAATTTCCTCTATAACTTAGAGTTAATTTGTTAACTCCGATGGTAGGTCATTGCTGATAGTATTTGGCTGACGAATCTAATGTGTCTTAGGTATATAAATACTCATACTCGATGATGGTTATTGTAACTCTCCAAGTTTCAGCTCCATATCACAGAACTATGTTAACGTTTGTGTTGAAGATTCTGACTTTCAAGTTGAATGACAGTTGTTTCGAGTTGCAGATGTTCTTCAATTGTACAAATGCTGCTCTTGCTTTGCTAATCCTTGTCTTTACATCCTTATCAAATCCTCCTTGTTTATCGATGATGCTGTCCAGGTATGCGAAAGATTCGACATCTTCTAGAGCTCCTCCATCTACTGTGATTAAGTTGGTGTTCTCCACATTGCATTTGAGGATCTTGGTTTTCCCCTTGTGTATGTGAAGGCTTACTGCTGTAGAGTTGGCCGCTATATTGGTTGCTTTCATCTTCATTTGTTGGGGTGTATGGGATAGAAGTGCTAGGTAACCTATGAAGTACCAATTGTCAAGTTGCATGGAAGCTGTAAATTGTATTCCGTGTTTCTCCTCAAATGTGAAGGCTTTTATAATCCAATCGATCATAAGAAAAAAGAGAAAGGGTGAGAGTAGACAGCCTTATTCGACACCAGTGTTCACTTGGGATGTATCTGTAAGCTGTCCTTCATTCACGAAGTTGCAGTATATTTCGTCTTACGAAGTCTGTACGACGTTGACGATTTTCTTATGTACACCTTGTGTTAAACGCTTCCTCATAGTTAAGGAAGTTGATGTACTATGACGATTTCCATTCAATTGATTTCTCAACTATGATCCGCAGTGTCACGATTTGGTCTATGCACGACTTATCCTTACAGAATCTGATCTGTAGATGTCTAAGCTAGTCCCAGATATTCACTTTCATTTAATTACCAACTTCCATTTTTTTGGATTAGAATTTCCATATAAATGTTAATAATCACATTTCGGATCAAACCATCTAGCTCAGAGTACAAAACTCCAAAAAGATCACTGGTATAATAGTCGTACAAAGTTTATCTACCTTCAACTCACAGAGTGTATCTTAATATATACTCATCAATGATATAGAAACATGAAGATTATAGGATCATATTGTTCTGTTTCCGAATAGATTTATCGAAAGGTAATTTTCAGAGTTCTAATGTGAATCTGAAACCGATGGAGGCTGACCATGTGGGATGTGGGGAAAATGCTCAATGAACATGTTAAAAGATGGTCACACGTTATCATGGATTAGTTGATGTTGGAATTGCATAACATTGGATGTTGGCTCAATAATTTCAAGATTAAGCTTTCATGCCTGAGACCATAAGTCCTAGATTTGATTCTAGAGTCAAATACAAGTACATCTCGTAGCCTTCGATGACTTTTTTTTGTTAATATGATTTAATGTTATTGACTTACTTCATATTAAGCCGATTGTCACAAAACCTATTTGTAACAGATATATTAAGTGTACATTATTAACAGAGATCATTTCAAGCAAAGGTGAATGATGGCTAGCAGTGGAAATCAAGACGAGCGTTTCATCTTATTATGAAAGTCGTCAGATGGATGTACATATGCATACCAGAGTTGATGTTCACTATGGGACTCAAAACCAATACTGTACACTTCAAACGCCATCACGTTATCCACTTAGCTACCCCATCGCTTGTTCATTAGGTTGAAGTTTAAATTCACTTGGTATTGTTTACTCGAATCTTCTCAGTGATGTTTAAGACTGCAATCGATCAGTGTCTTATTGGTATATGTGCATGCTGTGCGTGTTTCCTCGAGATGCAGGCACTTCCAGCTGATGAGTCCCAAATAAGACGAAACGCTCGTCCTAGATTCCATTGTAAGCTACTATTCATGTTTGAGAATTAAGGCAATATGTACAGGACACACATATGCCAAAGTTTGAAAATTTCATTTGTTTAATTAAGGATAATTTGGAGAGTAAACAAAAGATTTAATCAGATGTAATCTGTTGTTTGCATTCCTGAAGAGCTCAACAATGAATAATATGTACAAATGCAGTTATACTACATCCCGCATGCAAACACATGCAAAGCTCTCTTCATCATGTCATATAAACTAATGCATATTTCATTCAAGTTAAATATCAATCTGCATGCATCATACCAATACCTATGAAATGAATTAATATTAATTTAATATTCAGTATAGGGTATGAAGATCATTAAGTTTTTGATTGAGATCATGTAACGATTGATGTTAAACCACCATTGAAAACCTGAAAGCACTGAACAGCCGTTTCGTCCTACTATCGAACTCCTCAGCAGTGCACATCCACAATCCCGCCTGCTGGAGTTTTAGTGAGAAGACGTGATTAATGAATTTCAACCATGTAGGATGTGAGACAGGAGTGAGTCCACCTCGACGATTGGGAACACTAATCTTACGGACCTCAGTTAGGCGGTCCGAACCTAATTACACGCTTCAATTCAATCTCGAATGCTTTTAAAAATTGGTGCCACGTTTTAGTTTGACCACCCCTAACTTTATTCAGACCAACATCGACTCTCGAGGTAGGTAGTGGTTGGGTATGCATAATACATGTCCCAAACACCTCAAATGAAGAAGATTTACTGTCTCGTAAATCGACTTTCCATCCGATCGGGCCTTCTAAATTTGTATTGAGATTTCGTTGGATATCAGATAATCAAGACTGATAAGATTCCCAACACAAGTGAATGGGTCGGTGTGTTCAACGAATTCACCCCTTATCATTAATTGAGTTCTTAACACAAACCAAAGGATCTCATCTCAAATATGTTTGTATTTTTGCTTAAGGCAGCTACAAGACTGCATATTTTCTGCGTTTTCACCAGAAACTATGAAGTGGATCGTATGCGTATCCAAAGTCAGTAAGTGAATCTCTCATTAGAAGATTTCGAATCTACACTTGAATACTAAAAATAGCCAAATAGTATTTAAATCAATAATCCGAAAGATCTTTAAAGTAACTCATTTTTCTAGAAATTACCTAAGAGATTCAAAGTACTCTGGAAAATTCTTGAAGTTTTGACCGAACTTTAATGGTGACTCAAGAAATTGTTTAGACTTCAGTTTATTTATCATAGATGATTGATAAATTAGACACATTCAGATTATAGTCATATTAGTCATAGAATAACACACAGTTTCTCTGCTTAGTAATAACATGGTGGTTGCAGTCAGTTAATAAGTGTCCCCGGATGTGAGTATGATGCTGAGTGACACATGATCGAATCCGAATAAGAGCATCATCTCCCTCAATATTACAGGCATACTTTGCTGAAGAGTGCTAAATAGCATGAAACCTATATTCAGGGTTTCCTGTTGGCTACCTCCAACCACAATCTAATCTCAACATAGTGCACGCGATGTCGAGTTACCTACAGCTTGTTTGATAGTATTCGATCTGCACTAAAGAAGAACATGACACACATGATATTGATCACCACACAGTGGTGAATCAATTGTCATCACATCTCAGTCCTACACGAGGTCAGTTGTGGAACAGATAGTCGAGTGGTAACCTCACTGACTATGAAGCTGTGTGACACGGGATCAAATCCAAATGAGAGCATCAGTTCCTTCAAGATTACAGGTACACCTTACTGACGAGTGCCAAATAGCATGAAACCTTGGTCGAACAGGGTTTCTTGTTGACTACCTCCAACCACTATCTTATCTCAGTATACTGCACACAATGTCGAGTCACCTAGATTAGTGAGCTGCACAAAAATGAAGGACCTGACACACATGACGCTGATCGCCACTAAGTGATTAATCAATTATGACTTAGTAATAAAGAACGATACCATATTTAGATCATCTCCCCTTGAAATAAACGATGATACCTAATTCATTGTTGTTAAGGTAAAAAAAAAAGAAAGAGCAAACACAAATTAAACAAATAAACTATACAACTCACTATGCCCATTACGATTACCATCATTATTTCTAGTAGCGGATAAATATTTACTTTTTTTAGATTGATTATTTATATCATCAGTGATATCATCTATTTGTTGTTTATCATATATAGTTATCATTGGATTACGTGAATGGGAACGTGATGAATTCATTTGATCTATAGAATGATATTGATGTGGAATATTTCCTTCTCGTAATCTACTCCCTCCAATATGTGTTATTGTTGATGTACCCATTGTATTCCCTTTTTCATTAGAACGTAAAATAGTTGATGCAATCAATGGTTCACCACTAACTGTTGTCATTGTAGTTGAACTACGTGGTAATCTAGAATTAATTGTATATCCATCAATATTATTTCCATATAATTCATCAACTTTATATTCCCTATCATCACCATCATCATTGTAATCATCATCATTGTCATCTCCATCATCATGATTCTTTTCAGCTGGTTCAACACTTGTAGCTCCTCGTCGAATTATTGCTCGTGTTCCTTTGATTATTATTATTATTAGTAAATAATTATTTGTTCGTATGTGTGCGTGTGAGGGGTGGGGGGTGGTAAGTTGTTTTAATATGATTTAAAAATAAGAAAGAATGATATACATTTCAATATATTTTCCATATAAAAACAAATGCATACACACACAAATACATTACGTTAGATGAATGAATGAGAGATAATAAACAGGCAACATGATATTGATTGAAATATAAAAAAGGAACATTTATTGTTGCCATGTTACGTAATCAAAACAAGTACTACTATTAGTATTATTTTATTCATTAAAATTACAGTAAATAAACAAACTAGATACATGCAATTGTATAACAACCATGGCATAACATTATACATAACATAACTTATTATATTGAATTTGAATATTCATTTAATAATACAATGAATCATAAGCAAAGATGGATAGTGTCTAGCAGTAGAATCCAGGATGCGTATATCGTCCTACTTGGGACTCGTCAGTGGATAACGCGATGGGGTTTGAAGCAAATAGTATTGGGTTCGAGTCCTAGAGTGAACATCAACAGCTACCAAGCTGACGAGTTCAAAATAGGAAGAAACACATGTCAAATTGGATTCCACTGCTAGCCACTATCTATCCTTGCTTGTAATACAATGTCGAGGCAATACGCACAGTATGCACATTTGCAAATAAGAAACTGATCAATTTCAGTCCTAAACATTAATGAGAAGTTTGAAATAAACAATACCAAGTGAATTTAACATAAATTGTTTATAGGTATCAATTTTATGGTTGAACTGGATTGTTTCGAATCTAGTTGAGAATTTGGATAGAATGTTAATAATGAATATATATTCTTTTGAATCAAAAAAGGGTTTTTGTGGATAATATAGTCATTTCAATAGTTGAGTTAATGAGTTAATTGAAGGTAGACTACAAAAAATTCCTGGAAGCACTGGGTAGCCGTTTTGTCCCAGTAGAGGACTCCTCGGCAATGCATATCTACGGTCCCGCCAAGCGAGATTCTAATTCAGGACGTATCAGTCTCGCGCGTTGACACTTAACCTACAGAACAATGAGCCGACATCTAATGGTGTAAATGTCTAATTTCAACCACTGTCCATCATTGCCTTCAGTGAATGACTACCTCACAACATATATGGTTGAACTTCACTAGTCACATCCACCCACTAGAACTCCATGAAATGCTTCTTGGATACCGTCACTAGTGAGCATATGATGATTAGAATCAAAGTATTTTTGTTTATATTAAAGTAACTTTTTAGTTTTCTATGATGGCCTACCTTTAGTTGACTCATTCATTCAGCTGAAGAATACTCGATGAAATATTAACTGAATATCAGATACTTCATATTCCATGCTGTACTCTATTCAATTGTTCGATTTAAATATATAGCTTTTCCGATTTCCAAATGTGCAGAAAATTTGTATCCCTAACGGTTCGTTACTTTATGTTAGCCACTTTTTCAAAGTAAATAAACACTCTGAAGAAGTGGCTAACACCAAGTGACGAAACGTCACTAATACCAATTCTCTACGCACTGAGGTATATTGAGGAGTTTCTGCTTCATAAAATGAATGTCATATGTAAAACAAATATCTTTCTGTTCATCTTAGATTAATTCAACAAAATTTAATTGATTTATTTCATTGATATCATTAGTTGATCCGTGGAGTTCAACCGTGTTTGTTGTGAGCCAGTAACTCACTTAAGACAATTATGGACGGTGGCGCGATTTTGTGGATTGTTTGAAATTAGACATTAACACTATATGATACCAGCTCAGTTGTCTAGAAGTGAAGCGTTCGCGCGCGCGACTGATAGGTCCTGTTTTCGAACCTTACGAGGCGAGATCATGGATGTGCACGGCTAAGGAGTCCTATATTGGGACGAAACAGCCATCCAGTGCTTACAGGCTTTCCTTGGTGATCTAGTTTCAATTGACTCATGAATTCAATTATAGAATACTTAATGAAACATTAACTGAATGTCAGATACTTCATGTTCCATGGAGTATCCTACTCAAATATATTTAAGTGTTTGATTTAAATCACAAACAAACATGATTTAGTCAATTATAATAAACAAGTTATGGATGATCTCAGATATTTATCGAACTCTCTTATGAATAAATCATGATGTACATAGTCCAATCATATAGATTTAACTTCTTATTTGACTTATAACGTAAACAGCCATATCTCCCGTTAAACTTTGAGCAATAACCCTCCACCCTCCACATACACTTTTTTTGTGTTTTAAAAAAGGATGTTTGGTTCTCATATTCATCATTTAGAAAAGAATTAGGTAAACAAAAAAGATTTAAAAAAAACAACTAAATGTTCTATTCAGTTAATTAGTTACTAGTGAATCTTGTTAATTAAGGCTAAAAATCAATAGTGGTTGATTCTATTTGAGTCGTATTGATTAAATTTACACTGCCCAACAACAAACATTTTAGCGCCAAGTAAATCAATTTTATTAGACTTTTGCTTCTCTCTTTAATTTCGTCACCCATTGTGATTATTAGTTTGATGAAAACTATAAAATATCTCTAGTAATACTGTTAGGATGATTTACAAGAGCTACGATAAAGCCTCCAGATGTTATAGAAGAGCCGAAGTGTTCCGTTTAATCATAACACAATTGAACTATATGGAATACCAACGTTACATACTACTATTGGTCAGTAGCATAACATGTCTCTTTGCAGATTAGTCAAATTACAATATTGATTTAACAAACGCTAATATTTAATAACTCCGCCTGGAGTCCCTCCAGTGGCTGCTGCCAGTCCCAAGCCCGGATAAAAGAGGAGGGTTGGGTATGGGGTTAGCGACCCCATCCCATAGAAAACTAGATCGCTAAAAAACGCTAACCAGAAAAATTGCTGCAGAATATCTAATAACTATCCATGATTTTTTGTACATTTTGATTCTTGCCCAACAAGTACTTTCTTTTCCAATCTTCTTCTGTTTTCTCATTTGCAATTTGAGAGGGTTCTAGCATTTTGATGCTCAAGTCATACATGGTATATTAAGAATTTAACCTTCTAGATATAACAAATACAAACAACCTTGTATTCATAAAATACCTTGTTATAATGTACTCTGAAGCCATATATACAGACAGAATATACATTTACATGTTAAGCAGTCAACAGTCATTTATTCTAAACAAAATACATGCATTATTATCAAACATGCACAATTGTAAAAAAGTGTAATAATCCATTCTCCTTACATGCATTATTAAACATTTGAATTGACCCATAAATATTACAAATAAAGAATAAATGTAAAATGTTTTAGGTGGAGTATTCATTCTCTGAGCTGAATGTTTAGGTCCTTAAAGCTTTCTGTGTTCTTCTGAACAATATCATCAGCATAAACTTCAAAAATAGAAGTATGATGTTCGAATATCCGTATATACGACTTGGAGCTTGTGTTGTACACTACGATTATAATTGGTTATTGATGACATTTAACGTGTTGTTGTTTACCTCTCTTTATTTTAATTGTATCATCCATTGATTTGATTCTTGATTCTATATTTGTCCATAATATTTATGATTGATAAATTAAATCGATTTCAATGAGTTTGTCGATCATTGACTATCAAATTTCTAAAAATTCCATGATGCTTTTAGTAGTAGTAGTAGTAGTAGTAGTAGTAGTAGTAGTAGTAGTAGTAGTAGTAGTAGTAGTAGTAGTAGTAGTAGTAGTAGTAGTAGTAGTAGTAGTAGTAGTAGTAGTAGTAGTAGTAGTAGTAGTAGTAGTAGTAGTAGTAGTAGTAGTAGTAGTAGTAGTAGTAGTAGTAGTAGTAGTAGTAGTAGTAGTAGTAGTAGTAGTAGTAGTAGTAGTAGTAGTAGTAGTAGTAGTAGTAGTAGTAGTAGTAGTAGTAGTAGTAGTAGTAGTAGTAGTAGTAGTAGTAGTAGTAGTAGTAGTAGTAGTAGTAGTAGTAGTAGTAGTAGTAGTAGTAGTAGTAGACAATGATAGATTAAATGTTCATAATAACCGGTCAAGATAAATGTCGACAGTACAAGTTGTGAGTCATATGTAGAGAAGTTCGAATAATTCACTTCCACTTAAAGTTTGTGCTGATGATGTTGTTCAGGAGAACAATGAAAGCTCCACGACCAAAGCATCTTGCTCACAGAACAAAACCTCATCAAAATCATCCACGATAATGTGATAGATGTAATTCAATATGTTTTAATATTAGACTAGTGAAATGTCATCGTCAGAGGGATTAGACATAGTACTACTAAAATTTGATCAGTAGTATATAAGAACTTTTAAAATTAATTTAACATGGATGTATCATAAATAAGGATTCATAAGAGACTAATATTTGATTAACAACTATGTTGAATGTACGAAATATATATAAAAAGTGTTTCAGTTTTCTAGCATTTGAGTAGTATCTGCACAATTAAGCAAAATGTGGAAGAAATGAACAGCCGTTTCATCCTACTATCGCACTATTCAGCAGTGGCCATCCACAATCGCACATGCGGGATTCGAACCCAGGACCTTTGGTCTCGCTCGCGAATGCCTCACATCTAGACCGTTGAGCCGGTATCCATTGATGTTAGAGTCTAACTTTGACCAATTCACGAATTCGCGCCACGGTCCACCATTGTCTTCAGTGAGTTACTGCCTTACAACAGACCTGGTTGACTCCACTGTTTACGGATTCTCACTAGAAATCCAGGATGGATGCTGACTCATTGGTTTTGAAGTTAGGCATTCGCACGGGAGATCGGCAGTTCCTGGGTCCGATCCCGTATGCGAGATCGTGGGTGCCCTCTGCTGAAGAGTCCCATACTAGAACAAAACTGCCGTCCATTGCTTCCACGTTTTCCATGGTGGTATAGCTTTAATCGACTCATGATTTCAATCAGTGAAATTTCTAAAATCTCTACAAAACCCCTTCGGATCAATAAAAATTAGTCATTACTGAAGTAAACTATTTTTTCTTCTATTTTAA